ATACATAATACATGTGTAGGTGTAGGTTATTTTTACTGTTTCATTATTACAAACAGTAGGGAAATTAGATCCTTGTATGTGTCTGATTTCTTACGTACACGTGTAAGAAGAGTTCCTCAGACACAAAAATGTATAAACTACAAAGGAAAGAAAAATAGACGAGTCTGACTATCATCAGACTTAAGGCTTCTAGAAGTATGACAAGATAACATGAACAAAGTGAAAGAACAAGCCACTGGGGAAGCATTTGCAACTCTGTAACCAATAAGGGACTAATATCCAAATTATACAAATTCCTATAAGCAGTTTATCAAGTTTTTTTTTTTAATATCTTCATAGTTTATAACATTGTGAAATTTTGGTTGTACATTATTGTTTGTCAATCACCATATACATGTCCACCTTCACCCCTTGTGCCCACCCCCCACCCCCATTGCCCCTGGTAACCACAATACAGTTTTCTCTGTCCATGTGTTGGTTTGTATTCCACATATGAGTGAGATCATACTGTATTTCTCTTTCTCTTTCTGGCTTATTTCACTTAACATAGTATCCTCCAGGTCCATCCATGTTGTTGCAAATAGGACAGTTTTGTCTTTTTTTATGGCTGAGTAGTATTCCATTGTGTATATATACCACATCTTCTTGATCCATTCATCAGTCGAGGGACACTTGGATTGCTTCCACTTCTTGGCTATAGTGAATAATGCTGCAGTGAACATAGGGGTGCATAAGACTCTTTGGATTGCTGATTTCAGGTTCGTTGGATAGATCCCCAGTAGTGGGATCATAGGGTATTTCTATTTTTAATTTTTTGGAGAATCTCCATACCGTTTTCCATAGAGGCTGCACCAGTTTGCATTCCCACCAGCTGTGTATGAGGGTTCCCTTTTCTCCACATCCTCTCCAACATTTGTTGTTTTTTGTTTTGGTGATTATAGCCATTCTCACGGACGTGAGGTGATATCTTAGTGTTGTTTTGATTTGCATTTTCCTGGTGATAAGTGATGTGAACATCTTTTCATATGCCTATTGGCCATCTGTATATCTTCTTTGATAAGTGTGTTCATTTCCTCTGGAATTTTTTGATCAGGTTGTTTTTTTTGTTGTTGTTTAGTTGTGTGAGTTCTTTATATATTATGGAGATTAACCCCTTGTCAGATATATGTTTTGCAAATATTTTCTCCCAGCTGGTGAGTTTTATTCATTTTGATCCTGGTTTCATTTGTCTTGTAGAAGCTCTTTAATCTGATGAAGTCGCACTTGCTTATTTTTTCTTTAGTTTCCCTAGTCTGAGTAGGCATGGCATCTGAAAAGATTCCTTTATGACCAATGTCAAATAGTGTGTTGCCTATATTTTCTTCTGTGAGTTTCATAGTTTCAGGTCTCACCTTGAGGTCTTTGATCCATTTTGAGTTAATTTTTGTGAATGGCGATAGCAGATGGTCCACCTTCATTCTTTTGCATGTGGCTGTCCAGTTTTCCCAACACCGTTTGTTGAAGAGACTTTCCTTTCTCCATTGTATGTTCTTAGCTCCTTTGTTGAAAATTAGCTGTCCGTATATGTGTGGTTTTATTTCTGGGCTTTCAATTCTGTTCCATTGATCTGTGTGTCTGTTTTTGTACCAGTACCATGCTGTTTTGATTACTATTGCTTTGTAGTATGTTTTGAAGTCAGGGATTGTGTGCTTCCAGCTTTGTTCTTTTTTCTTAGGATTGCTTTAGCTATTCGGGGTCTTTTGTTGCCCCATATGAATTATAGTATTCTTTTTTCTATTTCTGTGGAATGTCATTGGGATTCTGATTGGAATTGCGTTGAATCTGTAGATTGCTTTAGGTAATATAGACATTTTAACTCTGTTTATTCTTCTAATCCATGTGCATGGGATATCTTTCCATTTCTTTATGTCATCATGGATTTCTTTCAATAATGTCTTATAGTTATCATTGTATAGGTCTTTGACCTCCTTGGTAAGATTTATTCCTAGATGTTTTGTTCTTTTTGATCCAACTGTAAATGGTATTATCTTTTTGAGCTCTCTTTCTCTTAGTTCATTATTAGCATACAGAAATGCAACTGATTTTTGTAGGTTAATTTTGTACCCTGTGACTTTGCTGTAGTTGTTGATTATTTCTAATAGTTTTCCAATGGATTCTTTAGGGTTTTCTATATATTAAATCATGTCGTCTACGAATAGTGAGAGTTTCACTTCTTCGTTGCCTGTTTGAATTCCTTTTATTCCTTTTTCTTGCCTAATTGCTCTGGCCAAAACTTCTAGCACTATGTTGAATAAGAGTGGTGAGAGTGGGCAGCCTTGTCTCATTCCTGTTCTCAGAGGAATGGCTTTCAGACTTTCCCCATTGAGCATGATGTTGGCTGTGGGTTTGTCATAAATAGTCTTTATTATGTTGAGGTACTTTCCTTCTATACCCATTTTGTTGAGAGTTTTTATCATAAATGGATGTTGTATCTTGTCAGATGCCCTCTCTGCATCTATTGAGATGACCATGTGGTTTTTATTCCTTGTTTTGTTAATGTGGTATATCACATTGATTGATTTGTGGATGTTGAACCATCCCTGCGTCCCTGGTATAAATCCCACTTGATCATGGTGTATGATCTTTTTAATGTATTGCTGTATTTGGTTTGCCAACATTTTGTTGAGTTTGCCAAGTTTTATGTGTGTACATTGTTAATTAGATCACAGGTGCTGACTATAACTAACCCTAGGAACTTATTTTATGATGTATCAGTATGAGACGTAAGTTTAAAATCGCCCAGTATTATAGTGGACTTTTCCATTTCTTTATGAAATTACGTTAATTTTTTATGTTATATTTTGAGGCCATGTTATTAGATGTATACCAGTGCAGAATTGTTATATTTTTCTGGTGATTATTTCTTATCATTATGTAATGATTTCTATTTCAAATTATGCATTTTGAGTAAAAATCTATTGATCTGATGTTCTTGCCTTGTATACCTTTTTCAATCTTTTACTTTCAACTTTTGGGTTTTTTCCTTTCAAATGTAACACCAAGCCTGTTTCATTTTCCCTTTCAACAGAGTGTGACTATTATAAACCTCAAATAGCTACATTTTGGTTTTTTATAGTCTAATCTTGCCTTTCACCAGCCTAGTCTGTTTGCGTTTGTGGTGATGACTGATAAATTTGGATTCATTCTTTGTTATTTTAATACTTTCCGTGTATCATGCTTTTTCTTTGCTCCCTTTCTCCCCCTTGTTCTTTAGTGTTGCTCTTGTATTCTTTATTTCCCTTTTTCCCCCTTCCTCTGCTGGTTTGGAAAGTACACATTCTCTATCTTTTAGTGATACCCTTAAAATGTTTTTACAAAATACCTGAAGTCCAATACTGTCATTTAAGACTTTAGAATGCCTTAACATAGACGTCCGCTCTGTATTACATGTTCTTATTGTCTAGCATTTTAGTTCTACATGGTTTTTCTACCCCAAATTAAATGATGATTATTACTGTTTATATGTCAAAGCTTATTTAGATTTATCTATATATTTATCATTTTCTTTGTTTTTCATTGATGCTTGTTCCACACGTACCTTATGGGTTCACTTTTCTTTTTATCAAAGAATATGATTTTTCTTTTTTCTTTTCTTTTCTTTTTTTTTTGTGAGGAAGATCAGTCCTGAGCTAACATCCATGCTAATCCTCCTCTTTTTTTGCTGAGGAAGACCGGCTCTGAGCTAACATCTATTGCCAGTCCTCCTCCTTTTTTCCCCCAAAGCCCAGTAGATAGTTGTATGTCATAGTTGCACATCCTTCTAGTTGCTGTATGTGGGACGCAGCCTCAGCATGGCTGGAGAAGTGGCACATCGGTGCGCGCCCGGGATCCAAACCCCGGCCGCCAGTAGCGGGGCATGCGCACTTAAGCGCTAAGCCACAGGGCTGGCCCCAGATTTTTCTTTATTTAACCCCCACATTTAAGAACGAGAACACTGTCGTGTGAGGTTCTAGTTGCAGAACTGACAATAGACCCCATGTGTCTCACCTCCCAGTCTTTTGTCCTTGTGTAGAGTTGCTATTCTTTACTTAAATACTGGATCTTCCACAAAAACAAATGGGAATTTAGTAACCAATAAAGTTGGCATTTCAAATCAATGGCATAAGGTAAATGTTAAACCAAATGCTTAGCTCTGTGGGGGAAAAGTACAGCTGGACCTCTACTGCATTGTATTCAAATCCTGGCTCTGGCAATGGTATGACCTTGGACAATTTATTTAACCTTTCCAGGTCTCACGAATATCTGAAAATGAAAATGAGAATACTTACCTGACAGAATTAAATGAGAATAATACATGTAAGGTGCTTATCACAGTGAATGACATATAAGAATCATTTAATAGATGGTAATTATTATAAGTACATTTTTTTCTTACTCATTTTCTCTTAATCTACATATAAGTTTAGTATGATTATATTATCCCAAGTCTCTTATGTGCCCAGGACGATCACTTAATTGACTATTTAAGCTTAGGTTGGGGAGCAAGACTATAGGTGCCGAATTAGTGTTGAGGTGGTAGAATATGAAAATGTTACAATTAAATGAATGTTAGAGTATTTCAGTGGAATATGTTTTTTGTAATGGATTTGGGACTTAACGATGCAGGCTCTTTGCCAAGTATGTTGTGTATATTATAGAAAAGGGTCAACTGGGGACCTTCCTAAGAGGTACTGAAGTGAATCCAGCAATAGTTTGAATGTCTGTTCTTCCTCATCCCTCCATGACATATCTAGTGAGACTCACTTAACTATTTTGGTCATAATAACAATTAATGAAAATTAGATTTCAAATTTTAAGGTTTTATGGCTGAAAAAAACTAGAAACTGGAAATACTTTTTTAATGATTCTCCACCCATGCTAGTCCAATATGCTTAACGTTCTTTAATTCTAAGAGTGTTTGGATATATCATTTGCAGTATATTTTATATTTGTTTTTTAAGCATGTTTTATATTTGTTTAAGGTGGATAGGCATGTGGACCTGTTAGAAGTTGCCCAGGAAACTGATGGGTTTTCAGGAAGTGACCTAAAAGAGATGTGTCGAGATGCTGCCCTCCTCTGTGTCAGGGAATATGTTAATTCTACATCAGAAGAAAGGTATGTGTATTTAGAGTTGATCTCTAATATTTGTCAAACCCTTGTAGAGCTTTTAGGTTAGTTTCTTTTATTTTGCTTTACAATACCAATTCTGCTTATGGAATAAAAGGTAAATTGGAATTAACCCCTCCCGCCCCGCCCCCCGCCCCCCCCACTTTATTTATTGCCTTTTTTCTAAAGGGAAGTTCTGAAAATGAATTAGGGTTAGAGGGTCTGGAATGAAGAGGAAGAAATAAAAGCTGAATTTCTATTGAAAATCCGTGGGCTGGATCACAGAAAGCTGACAGAAACTTAGGCTTGCCCATCTCTACTAGGAAAACAGGGTTCTTGAGTACTCCTGGATTGCTTTTGTATACTAAATTCTTAAGTTTCATTTCATATGGAAATGAGTGCCTTGTCTTCCAGAAATTTCACATGTAAATGGGAGGATGTTGCTAGGGACTAGACTTCAATTTGTTAACAATAATGTATTTACTAAACAAAGAAACCATTTGTCACTGCAGCAGACTTCACGTAAAACCAGTTTCAAAGCACTGTGAGCTTGTGAAACCAATTTTGTATACCAACCTTAATTCCAGCAAAGATACTAGTGAACTGGAGTAACTCAACTCTGATGAACATGTCCCTTAAGGAAGTTTCCCAAAAGGCCACTTGCCCTGAACCAGTATACTACTACACTTCTAAACCCCTGTTCAAAATACTGACCTGCTAACGAAGAATTTCTGTGACTCAGCAAACCAGTGTACTTTGGGGGCTTGTGTTGAATAAGTTCTCCGCATCTTGTCCCTTTATTTCTCAGTCTCCCCTCCTCATCCCCCTGAGGCTTTCACTCCAAGTGACCTGGATTTGCTTGTTGTATTCATATATGTTTAATTACGGTGCATTGCTGTAGCAAGCTTCACCAAAGTTTCTTTTGGTGTAGGAAGGTTTGCGTGAAAGCTATGTCAACCAGTAGCTATGTACGCACTAGTTCTGGACCTATCTTTAGTGCTCCCTTGGGCCTCTTCATGAAGAGGGTCGCTCCATTTATTTGTTGCCAGATTAATCCAGCTACTCCAGCGCTCAAGTTGGGAATACCTTTAACCTCTGTAGCCAAGAATCTACTGTCCAAAGGTTTTTGTTCTTTATAAGATTAAGAGAAGGAAAAAAAACCTATGAATAAATTTTGCTTAAATAAATTACCTTAATAATGAAAGTCCTGTTTTTCTGCTGTCTCCAAAGCCCTGAGACAGTATGAAAAATATTTTATATTTTATATTTCGGTATGAAAAATCTGGCTAATAGACTTGGGTTATATTTATATATATATGTTTTTTCCTAAGGGTCTGTAAATTACAAAGGAAGTATAATATACTGGATTTTTTTTTTCTCATTATTGATGTGGGGAGAACTTAGATTAGTTGTGTTTTATTACTAGCAAAGGATTTTATTTACAGTTCATCAAAAGCTAAACATGTACATGAATATATACCTAGGAATGCTACTTTATAATTTCAGTTTTCATGGAAATAACTTTTGATTCCTTGACTAGAATTTTATTCCCATTTAGGTAAACTGATACTCCTTTATATAACATTTTCACCTTATGATAATATTCTTTACTTATATTCTTAATGTGAAGTATTCGATTTTAGTCACCACAGCTATAAGGTTAATAGCCAGCCTTTTTAGCTTCATACCTCTTTGCAGTCAGTGCTTTTTAAAAAGCTCTTAAGATTTGTACATGCATAGATCATCCCTGAAAGAATTCAGATGAAGCTGCTAATTGTGTTTGTCTTTGGGGTCTTGGATGGGAAGGAGATTTCATTCTTTAATCTTAGTAAAATATTTTAGGGAGTTGTATTTATAGTTATTTGAATATTTGGTGGTTTCGTTTGCATTTTAGCCATGATGAAGATGAAATTCGGCCTGTGCAACAACAGGACCTGCATCGGGCAATTGAAAAGATGAAGAAATCAAAGGATGCAGCATTTCAGAATGTTTTAACACATGTTTGTTTAGATTAAGAGTACAGATCGTTTGTACAGTTCAATGTGACCTAGTTTGGCGTGCTCTCTTATCATTAATGGAAGTAGAATGGAAGGAGGAGTGTTCTGTAAACAGTGAGCAAGTTAGATGTTTATGACACTGGTTTTATACTCTGAATTCTAAGTTATTGAGATATAGTTGTTATATAAACGGTATTACTACTTGTCAGAAATCATGAGGAGGAACAATTTAATCCAGCTTGAACGTGGGTGCTGGTGTTTGACCTCTTTAGCCATATGTTGCAGCCTTATAGCATCTAAGCTGGTCTTAAAGTAACAAATGATTCATTGAGTCATTAGTGAGAAATGGGGATGTGGTTAAGTGCTGGTTTCTAGACGTGTGAGTGTGTGTGTGTGTATGTGTGTATGTATTAAATGTATATATTCACACATTTTATATTGACATTCTGTAGATACGTTTGAATACAGAAACTTTTTTTTACCCCAAATACTGAATCAAAAAGTACCACATTATATATAGCAAAACTGAGATATAAGGTTGTGTCTAAAAGGTACAGTGATTCAGCCATTTCCATTTGTCACTTGTTTCACCTTTTTTTTAAGTTGAGCATTTCTCTGCAGTTGAATATTTGGAATCAGCCACATCTGAATACTTAGATTTGGCTCAATTGTTACAGTTGTCAGGATAATCAAATAAAAATACTTGTTCAGTGATCAACATTGAATGGTTGTCAGGCAGTTGTGAGCTCAACATTGATTTCACCTCTTTCTGCAAGCACACTGAGTAGAGACATTTTTTAAATTGATATACTTAAAGGTGGATTGAAAGCCTTTCAAAAGAATGGCTTGGAAAAACAGTGCCATTCAATATATGTGTGTGACTTTCTTCATTTAATGTAACATAGTTCTGTTGTAACCATGGTTTTTTTAATGTTATTTTTAAGTTGTATGTTCCTTAATTATGGTCAAATATAATTTTGTCAGCAAAAATGAAATGATAGTTTAAAACAGGTAGCTATTACTAAATGTGCTAAAAATACTCATTTTGTAACTTTAATTTTTTGTTTTCTTAGCATATTACAAATTATGGCCTAATTAGTACACATATACACATCAAAATTCCCATATTGTGTCTGTAGTCGTTTGATGCTATGTGCCCTGCATATGAAACATATTTTTTTGTCCAAAATTTCACTAACGAGAATTCTGTTAGAGGCACTTAAAACGCACAGCATGAGGAACATGGCACAATACGATCTTGAGGTGCCTTCTGAATCATCAGAAAGATTAAATGATGCTTCATATATTTTTGTTTTTATTGTATTTCTTTGAAAACTCTCAATCTTTATGCATGAGTTATTGGATTAGTTTCTTTGATAATAAGTCTCTCACTGGAACCTATTGGGTAGTTTATTCAGTTATGCTTTGAATGGTGGGTGGGGTAGAGGTTGCAGGAGAACACTTTGGATAACAAAAAGCAAGTTTTGAAAAATTGTGAAGACGATCAAAAAATTGAATGCAACAAGATACCAAAAATAAAAAATTTCGTCTCCATTTTTAATAACTATATTATACTATTATTTTATAAATGTATAATAAAGAGGTCCCTCTTTATTGATTTTTCTCTACTTACTCCTTGGTCTTTTTCAGTTATTTAAAATTTTCTGGGGTTGCTTTGGTTTATAAAACTTGCCCTGGACTATTTTTATCTTGCTGTGCAGCTTTCACTCTTGAATAGCATAATTCTAGTATCTAATCATTATTTTGTTTTAGTATGAATTTTATTAATCATTTAATTTTAATCTGATGGCATATTGGTCAGAAATAAGGGGTGATACATCCCTCCTTATGTCCTTTCTTTTTATCTTCTCTTAAATTCAGAAGATCTTATAGTAGTAGTTATTAAATTTATCATGATTTTAATCATCAATGAAGTTAGAGAAATACGCTAATCCCAGCAATCATGACTCATCTAAGCATCTTAATGCCGTAAAGGAATTGAGAAAGCTTTATTATATGATTTTAAAGAATGTTTGGTGTTATACAATCTGTTCTTCTGCTGTCGGCATGCATTTGACATATGTAGTTGGATTCTAGATTCTAAGGTATTTCATTGTGGCTAACAATTAAGAGAACTGGATCTAGAGTTAGACTGCCTGAACTTAAATCCAGGCACCTCATTAATTAACCATGTGTCCTTGGACTAGTTACCTAACTTCTTTAAGCCTCAGTTTGTCGTTTATAGAATGGAGCGACAGTGGCACCCACCTTATAGGGTTGTGTAATGAAGTGATGCGTGTAAGGCACTCACCACAGCGCCTGGCACAGTTAACGGCTCCAATGTTAGCTATCATGTTATTTTATTACTTTTACACACTGCTGTACATATCTGTTGATCAGGCTCAATTTTTGAGCATTCTCCATACTTAAAGCATTTCCATGATCCCTAGGCCTGTATTCTAGGATTGTGATTGAAATGATCAACTGTGTGATGTTTCTCTAAAAGCCTCATTGTTGGAAAACTTCTGATAAGTCTGGTCTGTTTCAAACTATTCCCAGCCTTTTTTTTAATAGAGCTTAGTAACTCAATATTTGAATCAATTCAGTATCGCTTTTCAATTTCCCTCCTTTCTATCTCATCCAACCCCCAACCTGCAGGATGACCCAGAACTCACCATATTATCAAAAGCTGGCTTGGCATAATCTAAATATTCTATATGGACCATAATAGCCTAACATTACTTAGTAGCTATAATTTATAGGTTTGGTATTAGATGAGGAGGTCTCAAGCCTTGAGTACCTGTGTAAAAACAGCAGCATCCCTCCTTGGTAGGAATTTTTTTTTTTACTGGAATTGTGTTGCTGGTGGACAAATGTTACAGCTTTCTTCTCGATAAAGAAAATAAATTGGATGATGTATATTTTATAATTCTCTTTTTAAAAGCTTCTCATAAAGTCAATATCAGAATATTGAATAGAGTTCTGATACACCGAGCTTATATCCTGCATGTCTGAAACCCCAGCACCAACTGTAATCCTCAAATGAAGTCAGAATCATTCCATTTCGAGCTGACAAATCTTTAGAGAGCCTTCATTATTAAATTTATTATAGATTTAGTCATTAAAGATAGAGTTCCCTGATCATCTCACAAGTTAAAGCTCTCTACATATATAGGTGAAAATTCTGTCCAAGTCATCATGTTCATGCAATTGTATTGAGAAGATGTATAGCATAGATGCCAGATGCAAATGAGATCAAACCTAAAAAACCATTTAGCAATGTGAATAAAAACAAAACATCAGCAACACTGGTGTAAATTTTACACTATTAACAGCACATAAGGGTCTCATTACTAAAACACTGAACCGGAAGTATATTTTTGTGACTGTCTAGTATTTACAGTTATAAATCTGCTTGAGAACACTTTCAGATACAAGTTTTTGTGCTTTGAAATACAGTGCCAGTGAAATGTTAATGCTGGTATGGAATGCATCGAGCACACAGGTTTGAATCATGACAGCTCAGTTTTAAAATGAGAGCCAAACATATTGAAATAATTACTGACATGAAAAACCTAGAACTGAGAATAGAACACAATGGTATATGCCCCACTGTTCTGAAGATGCTTCCAGAAATTCTAAGATACTCAAATAGGGGATGGTAATAAATCATTCAGTAAAACAAAGTCCTTTGCAGACAAGTCTGAGGGAGACGAGCATCATCTACTGGGCCATGGTCATAGTCTTGTAAAGAGTGCCAGTTAGGGTTCTATTGCATGCAACCAACTCTAGCCGACCTAAGCCATAAGAATTTATTTGAAGTATATGGGGAGCTTATGAGATCAAAGGGAAGCTAAACAACTGGACTTAGGATAGAAATTCAGAAAGCTCTAGAAGGTTTTTTAGTAGGAATTGCTTAAGAATCTTGCTTAAGAATCCCCACTGAATTAAATGAACTCTAATTGTTTATCTTTCAATTGCCCCATTCAAGATTCAAAGTCCTAGAAGCGAGCATGCAAACCCAGGTCAGAAATCACCCGTGGCTGTCCTGGAGCTTTGAAAGAATGACCCTCCAGGTGTTCCTTTGGTTTACTGGTTTGAGAGCAAGTATCTGGATTTCTTGACTCGTCAAGACTAAATGCAAAAGGAGAGCAGTATTTCATCCAAAGGAAATTAAGTATTGTGGGGAAGGTACCTGGACGAACAAAAAGTGGCAAATGATCGGCTGGTCACATGAAGCCATAAGTATGTGCTAAATGAAGGACAGTATTATAACTCAAGTGGGCATGCTAGAAGTATGAGCAACATACATTACAGTTTGTGTGGAAGGCCTTCAGGGACTGCTTGGTCCGATCCCATAAGCTCTACTTCCACTTGATGATGGAGTGCTCCTTGGCATGCCCAACTCTTTAGCTAGGTGATCAGTTTTTAACTTGCAATTTATTTTGTTCCAGATAGTGGGTATAAAAAAGAACAGTGGATACTGAAGTGTAACATTGGTTTTTTGTTTTATTTTCAGGGAGTGCAAGCCCTTTCCTCTTATAGATAGATAGGGCGAAGGGCTGATCATTCTCATTCCTCCTAGATTCTAGTTAGGCTGGGTCTGGCCTGTAGCTTCAATAAGATTGAGTTGACCGGACTTAGCCCAACCCCTGCCCTCCCTTGCGGCAGCCTTTTGATCTTGGCAGTATTTGACCTAGGAGGGGTTTGTGGTTCTTTGTATTCAGTTCTGACAGAGTTCTGGCATTCAGTCACCATGAGAATGCACAAGACTCCCAGCCCCTCTTCTGCCATTTTTCTCTGCAGAATCCAGGCAAAGGGGATTGTCTAGCCTAGCGGTTTGTTTTTGAATGTATTTCCAGATTTCAGTCACTGTTGTCTGAGTGTTGGCTGAATTCTCCTCAGCCCTGCAAAATCTCTCCCTCAAAGGCAGGCCTGCCCTTCCACACCCTACATCCAGACTCAGGAGTCTACCCCTGGTATAAAAAGTCCCAAGGCTCTGCCCACCTCTGAAGGGCTTATTTCTCTCTGCCAGTCAGTTCATGAAGATTTTCTTGCATCCACTGTTCTTTGCTAGCCTCATAGAAAAGTATTATTTTTATTTTGTCTGGATTTCTCTTGTTACTGTGGGAGTGAAGGTCTTGCACATCTTTGTACGTTCTAGCAGAAGAAATTGTACAGGTATTTATTATGTCATGTAAAGTTCATTTTCAACTTTATAGGTTTCAATCTCAGCTGTGGAACTTTTATATTATATATATCATATAATATTATGTACATATAAAGCACTGTCACTTTGGGAAAATCTCTTTACTTCTGTGGACGTCTGTTCCCTTATCTGTAAACAAGCATCATAATGTGTACCTTCTGGGATTGTTTTAAGAATCCTATGAAAATGCTTTGGAAGCTAGGAAGTGAAATGGCTATAGGTTATGTCCTTAGGCAAATCTTCTCACATTTCTGGGCCTCCATTTCTTTATCTGTACAATAATGGAAATGCTGAAATAGATGCATTTTAAGTTCCCATCCCAGTTTTCACTCAGCAGCACACTGTGGCAACAGTGGCCAAATTGATAGATGTAGGGCCCTTAGCAATACTGACCTGATGATCAGGAATTCTAAACTGGGTGGTTTTCTTAGCTACTGATTTGGGTCAGGCTTGGTAAATGGACTTGTTTTTTGTTTGTTTTTGTTTTAAATTTATATTTCTTTTTTTATAAACTTTATTTATTTATATTTATTTATTTATTTAATTTATTTTGTGAAGAGGACCAGCCCTGAGCTAACATCCAATGCCAATCCTCCTCTTTTTTGCTGAGGAAGACTGGCCCTGGGCTAACATCCATGCCCATCTTCTTCCACTTTATGTGGGTTGCCGCCATAGCATGGCTTAACATGCGGTGTGTCGGTGTGCACCCGGGATCCGAAGCACCACAACGGAGAGCGCACACTTAACCACTTGCGCCACTGGGCCGGCCCCATGGACTTGTTTTAATGGGCACAAATTATGAAACATGCCATTGGGTGGACAAGTTACAGACACTTCCAGGTACCTCGTGTTTCTGTTTATTAAACTTGTTTATTTCCTTGGCTCTGTTGGAGCTGTAAGCTTTTTCTTTGGTTGTTTACCTTGAATATCCAAAGACCTAGTACTTTATATAATTCTTTTTATGATTTGAGGATAGGATGGGGTGATACAACCTCTTTAGCGGTTGATGGAATTAATTTCTTCCATAAATGTAGGTTCTCCTTAGTAAATACACTTATAGAGGCCAATCTTTTAAACAGTTTAAAATACCAGATCAGTATTGGAGTTCTTTACATGAAATTAGTCCATTATTATTACAACCTGTGCTGAGCTGAACTTTACCCTTTTTTTTTTTTTTTTTTGGTGAGGAAGATTAGCCCTGAGCTACCATCCATTGCCAATCCTCCTCTTTTTGCTGAGAGATTGGCCCTGGACTAACATCCGTGACCATCTTCCTATATTTTATTTGTGGGATGCCTGCCACAACATGGCTTGATAAGTGGTGCATAGGTCTGTGCCCGGGATCTGAACCTGCGAACCCCAGGCCTCCGAAGTGGAGCACATGAACCTAACCACTAGGCCACCAGATTGGCCCTGAACTTTACCTTTGAACTATTTATGGAAAGTAGGCTTACGCAATAAATATAAATCAAGATTTTTCTTTACCCATAAGTTTGTATAATATATTACAATTTATAAGAAATTTCACTTATGTTATTTTAGTAAAATAGGTGCAGAGCAGGTTTAAGCTTCTGAAACAAACCAACTATACTTAAGAACTTTACCAAATAAAGTGTGTATTACTGATGCCAGCAATTACAAATACATATTATGACATTAAAAGAGCTGTGCCCATCAGTTTCTTGCTTATGTACTTGAAGGTAATAAAACTGTATTACTTTTTAAAACATTCTATAATTTAGATTTCTTACTAATTGAGACTGGTGTTCCCTGCAGTAAATCCAAATTAGGAGGTCTGTGGAAAGGGTAATAGGCTTGGTGGAGAGGGGAAGGGCACCTCGGTTACAAAAGATAAGCCATTGAAAACCTACCAAGGCTTACCTATGAAAGGCTTGTTTCAGAGTTCATCAAGACTTCCTTGCACCCACCGTTCTTTGCTAGCCCCATAGAAAAGTATTATTTTCATTTTGTCTAGGTTTTTCTGTATCCAACTAATATGTCCAAACTCTAGCCAGTGGCCCATTTATTTTTAGTAATAATTTCAATAAAATTATAAGCAAAAAAATTAAGCAGTCCTTTGGAGTGTATATTAGTGAACTGTTGTATATCACTTTCATCATTTGATGAATGGGTAGGATGAGTGGCCCAATAATAGTTAATATTAACCAAAGAAGTAAATGCATGCTGGGGGAAGAAAAAATAAGTGGTTACTCTTTCAATATCTATATAGTCAGTTCTTGATAATTTATGCATTATTGGCAATGGAGATATGCCTAAGTAATAAAAACTTGCATCATTCAAAATCTCAGGCAAAAGCTGCACTATTGTTCCATCACACATTTAGACATAAGAACAGTTGATTGATCGGGTGCCCATCTAATTTCTATAACCTTCCTATCAGGAAAGTATATTGAAGATCACTGCTAGACCTAAAAGTCGGGTAATAGGAGGAAGAGGAGAAAAAAACAAAAGTGAACTTGCTGTTCTCAAGTAACCAAGATTTGTTTCTTCTTGCAGGGAGTAGGGGTTGGAAAGAAATCTTGTGGCTGATATAAGTAAGTGTTGATAAAAGTCCGCCATTATCTGACCGAATGATTTACATATGCCTTTCCAGGATTCTTTCACACTGCCCTGTACAGTTTGGCATGCTCCCTCAGCACTACTTATATCTTCATGGACTTAGACACTTCCTGCCCTATTTTGTCCTACTAATTGTCACTAGGAGCCAGCAGGTAAGGATCTGAGGAGGAAGAAGGAGGGGCAACAAGTGGTAGCTGGGAGTTGGCTATTACACCAGTTTTATTTGGAGTGAGGACCAGTAGTAAAAATTTCCATGAAGCCTTCAGGACAGAAGGGAGGCAGGGACTCACGGAGGAAAAAACCCAAAACTGCAGGCCTGCCTGAAAGTGTGGGTGGACATGGGTTAGATCCTTTCTGCATACAAAAGTAGCAACTGCCGAAGTGTGGGAGGTATGGGAGTTGCTGTGGGGAAAAAAACACAACTGCTCCCAACGCTGTGGGTGCAACTCCTTGGGGGCACTTTGAGAAAAAGGGAACAAGTTAGAAAAAAAAAAAATGACAGGTCAGATCCTCATGCAGTGAAATCCTAGGGTATGGTCCCCGAGGAACCCCTGTCACCTCTGAAAATATCACTAGTGCTGAGACCATGTGTCACTCACATCTACAGCACAGTTTGAAAGATGGCATGAACAAGGGCAACAGCCTCTTAATTATGGTCAAAGAGAGAAACCCAATTATACAAAGTCACACAGCCCCCAACAGTCATGTGGTCAACCCACACTCAGTGTTACAGGCAGCAAAGACTCAGCCTTCATTTTGAGAAATTTATTAAAATAAGAATAAGCATCATTTGCACATAGATATGGTCATTTGTCACTATGTGTGGTACTAGAGCAGAAGAGCAGTTTTAAATATATTAAAAAAATCACAAAATACATTGGTTAAGGCACTACATCTCATCTCGTGTTTTCAATAAATAACGCTGTTTTTGAAAAAGGCAGTAATGAGTACCTCTGGTTAAATGAATACAGGCACTATGCTATTAAAGACAGTTCTACTTTGCTGTGGCCATTGTATGTAATTTATTGTCAAAAGGACTTTCATTAGCTAAGATTAGCATTTTTTTAAAAAACTCAGAATATGAAAAAAAATCACAGTTTTCTCTTTCCAGTTTAAGTCTCTTCCAGAGAGACCCATATACAAAAGGTACTGTTTCTTCGTATATTCCTTAGCAACAAGGAATTATACATAAAGTACAAAAGATTGCCTCCCAGAAGATGAAGTCATCAGAGGTTGGATGTTTCAGAACAGCATAAGTCTTTGGAAAAGTATTTTTTTCAACTGCAATAAAATCAGCTGGGTTTAGAAAACTCTGGACCTTTCAGCATCCACTTCCTGCTTTGTAAATGCTGTCTGTTCAAGGAGCTTTGTTAAGCAGTTGAGGGGAATCAGACCCAGCTCCTGTGTTGTACAGTGTAGACAGAGTACTGGACTGGGAGTCAAGTGGCCTGGATGCTCCTTCAATGTCACCAGTACTTCCTAATAATGCCAATTTTGCATTTTTGTTACAGTGCTCAGCAGCTCATGAAGCACGTGCTTGTGCATTGTCTTAAGTTTGGTCGCCTGTGAGACGAAAGGGTTGGAGTTGATGTTTTCTGTGGTTTTTTCCAGTTCCAGCACTCGCCAGGCTGATGGTGTGAACTGATTTTTGGTGGCAACTGATACTGCTGCAGTCAATAAGTACAGCCTCTCCATAGGACACAATGACCACAGCAAAGAGGAAAAAAATTGACTTTCCATAACATTGCCAGATTATCTAGCCCTGGGTGCAAATCTTTTCATCAAAGCACTGTATGGTATTTAATTAAAAGTTACCATTTAACTGAAGTTATATTATTCACAGAAGGCCATTAAGACTTCTCTTCTTAGACAGTACAACTCTCACGGCAGAACTAGGTTGCATAGATCAGCGATTCAATTCACATTTTCACACATTTGGTTTCTCCAGTCAAGTCGTACTTCAGCACATAAGAGATTGGGCAGTAAGGCTGTATACAGGCATGAGGTGAAATATCAGCAAGAATCTTTATGAGTCACACCTCATCTAGGGTGAGAAATCTTTTTTTTTTGACAGTTGTATGGAAAAGCCTGCTCATCTGATTTATTTTACTACTGGTAAATAACATTGGTTGAGTGCTGGTGGGCAAGACTTTGGCTAGAAAATATGCTTTACTTTTTGGCAAGTAAACTAGACATGGTCAAAGATTTAAGAAATCTGGGACATTCCTGCTCAGATGCAGTAGACAATGCAGCTAATTTCATCCTGAAATGATAACAATATTGCTTTCATCTGCTAAGATTTGGTCTTCAGTTTGACTTTTTATATATATATATTTTGAAGTTGACTTTAAATTATAGACACAATTTTTACCTTATTATAAAACACTAAAATCAGTCATTGAGTAGCAATTGGATACAAAGCATCTAATCACAAAAATAGAAAAAGGAATCAAAGAGCACTTCAGAAAGAAACTCTGGAGCTGAAGGGCATTCAGTTGTCCTTATCCAGGGACCTGTAATAATCTGTCAGGACCTTCCATGCTTTGGGGGCCATGAAGCCATCTGGGGGATTTTCTCCTTCCCGGGCCAGCTTCCGCATACGAGTTCCTGAGATGAAGTCAAACTCGTTGTGCCTGTCACAGGGTAGCAACAAAGAACTCAGCGCAGGTAAATAACATCTACCTTAAAGATTCCTGGAGTGGGTTATGGATTCTTAGAGCACGTTTTTTCTTTCTGTAAAATGTTGGCATCTTCTAAAATTGGGCAATTTGCTAAATCTCCAGTTCAGTAAAGGAACTTCCAGAAGAAAAGGGAAATAACGGCAGCTATCCATTCAATATTTACTGTATATACCTACTCTGTTCATGGGAAGTGTCTTCTATTGCTCTGCCTATTTCTATGAGCTCCTGCCATGGTGAGTGCGCCATAAATACTCATTGAAATCTTTTCCTGCATTGACTTCCTTTCACTAAATGTGCCAGGCGCTCAGTGCATGCTCAAGGAATGTATGTTGAAAGAGAAATATTTATGGACCATCTATTATATTCGAGGGGCTGTGCTAGAACTTTAGGGGACATAAAATGTGTAAGACTGGGCCCTGGCCTTCAAGGGACTCTCGTTCCAGTTAGGAGCATGTGGAGATGCACTGGAGAATTTTCCAAAGAGCCAAAATTTTGCCTTATCATTCCAGTTGTACAAAGGTTGATTAAAGAATTTTCTTTTGAAAACCTACCTTGCTGGATCATAGAAGTCCATGCTTTTTTTCGCTTTGTTGTAGGCAGCCACTCGAAATGGAATGATTTCCACAGAGGTGAGGCCAGGGGCCATGCTCAAGACCTTGCCCCCATGAGTGGGTTCATACAGGTCTTTCTTGGTGTCAGGGTGGGGCATTCCTGCAGGGTCCCGGCCCACAATGTAGAAATTGGCCCCTGCAATCATCCGGGACCTGCAGTGCCACTGGACCTAGGAAACATTACATAAGGGACATGCTGGTCATCACTGGCCAACTCTGTTGTGTCGTTATTTACAGAGATGCCTTTATTCTGCTTTAAAAATAATTCAGTGATGGGGATCAACTAACAATTGCAAGAAAGTCAGTGAGGTGTCTGAGATTCCATGCTCTCTCCTTCATGCTTGGCTATATTGGGTGGGATAGGAGATTTAAAGATAAGAATCCCCTCCCTCCACCCAGAAACCAGATGTTATATTTCTTAATAGCCTCTCCAAACAGGCTAGCAGACCAGGAACACTCCAATCTTACTGTTCTACAGAACTATGTGAATTTTACTTTCCACTTCCTCCCTCCAGAATATATCACAGTTTAAAGGAAAATACAAACTCAAACATCTTTTATTATCTGACTGCCAATAATGAGCTAATTATATGCAGACATTGATTCTAGTTCAACACGACACTGGGATTTCAAAATGAATTGCCCTCTTTAAAGCTCAGATAGAAATATAGAGGATGGAGAGGAGAGCTGGGAGCCTGGATCTTTGATCTGGTTGAAGAGAATTAATTTATTAAACTCAGTTTGGGGCATTCTAAAGGGCTGAGACCCTTTCAATTTCGTACTTCCCGAAAACTTGTTCAAATCTATTCCGCTGGTGGTGCAGTGGGACAAAGAAAGTCTCTGTGTGATAGGGTCACTGTGTGATGATGAAAGGGAGTCATTAAGCTTTTAAAGACATACTTTCCTCTCTAATGTAGCTCACAGGGCATGATGAATCACTTAAGAGTAACTGGAACTTTGGAAATTGAATATTATGTTAGATACAACTTGCCCTATAATCCAGTTAAGCTGCATTATTCACCTCATTCACACGCCAACCTCCATATTCTCATAGGCAATGTATAACAGGTTTGATTTGATGTTTCTAGCATTTTTACAAATACTAAAGGGAAACAAGTTGGATAAAGAAGAGAGACCAGAAGATTCTGGAATCTGCTCATGAGAAAGAAGGATCCCAGAGACTCATCTGCACTTCTAAGTAAAGTTTGAGCCTGCACTTCTGAGTCCCATAGCCTAGCTCAGGGAACTGCTCACCTCTGTGGGGCCAGCATATAACATGGGAGATGGGAAGATGGCAATGATGGTTGACTTGGGATCCAGAACCCCTTCCTCGAGCACAGCTGTGTGCTGCTTCATCCTCCAGTCCAAGGGCACGTCGTCATCCTTGGTCCAGCCACCCAGAGGGTGGAGCAGGAGGACCGGGTGCTTGTAGCCCCTCTCCAGGAGCCGGCGGCGGGTGTCCTGCATCAATAGAGCATGGCCATTGTGGACAGGATTGCGCAACTGGAACGCAAATACTGCATCTGGGAAAGGAACATATAAAAGCCAAGATCAAAGAAATGCACAGTGTCACTTGTCCGCAAGAAAAGAAAGGAAAGACGTAAGTTATGTTTATTGTTCACCGCACCTATTGTTCACTGCTTTTGATAATCAGCTGGAGAATCCACCTGGGTCTTTAGGGGTGTTCCTCCAAAGGTACCAACCAATATGCCAGGCTGCTTAGACAGGGACAGGACGCCGAGGCAGGAAGCCCTAAAGGGAGCGCCTGACTCAGAAATGAAAACGTTTGTTGCCAGGACCTTTCCTGTCAACTAAGGCTCAGGCGGGCCTGGCATTAATCAGTCCTCTTGCACCTTGCTCCAGTCTCTCTTTCCCTAGGGGGGTGAATAATGACAAGGACCATTTTCTGGGGCCTGTGCAAGGTATTAACAATCTAAAGATGAAAAAATATTTCACCTTCACTTTAAAGAAGTCTTCAAAACTATTCTCCTTAGTGATGGACTCCTAAGAGGCTTAATTTTTCCCTGTGGTTATGAAATAAATTAATATATATCCATTATGGAAAACCTGGGAAATACAGAAAAGCCCAAAATAGAATATAAAAATCACCTATAATCCTATCATTACTTTTTCTCTCTAGTTTTCAAAATATATCAAGTGAAAATCTCCCCCTCCCCTTGGTCCAACTCCATCCCTAAGAAGTAGCCACTATCATCTGCAGCTTGGTGCACATGCTACCAGAGATTTCTGCTTCGATATGCAGAAGTAGGTTAGGGTTTTTAAAAAATATATTTTATTTTGTTTTCTAAAATTATGCTATACATATTCTGCAATTTGCATTTTTGCTTAATAAATACACTTTGGGCATCTTTCTGTGTCAGTGCATAGTTTTAACTGCTGCATCCATATGTTAAGTATTCCAACATATGATCTACTTGAACTTTATAAATTGTTTCCAGTTCATCTCAATAAACATATCAATAGGTGTTTCCAGCTTTTTAAAACTGTAAACATGGTGATTCCTGATATCCTCAGTTCTGTATTCAGAGGATGGTAAGGAGTATTAACAAATGCACTACAGCCAGCCTACATACCAGCATTCATTTCTTTACATTTCTGTTTGAGCTCCAGAGGTGTCAGGCGGTATTGGTCCAACCCATCATTCCACCTTATTCTCTCCAGCACCTGAAGGTCTCCACCAACCAGCCAATCCCCACCTTCCATCACCATCTAGAAAGACCGTTATTAAAGGTGTTAGTGATTAATATTGATTTCTATTTTATTTGAAAAAAATTTTCTCCTTCTTCTGGACCAATCTTGGGTTACTGTTGAAGAACTGCCTTCAGTTCTTCAGCATTTCTAGCCCAGTATTTCTCAAACTTTTTGGTCTCTCAACCCCTTTATACTCTTAAGAATTATTGAGGACCCCTAGAGAGCTTTTGTTTATGTGGGTTATAGCTATCATTATTTTCCATATTAGAAATTAAAACTGAGAAGCTTTAAAAATATTTATTAATTTGCTAAAAACTAACAATAATAAACCTATTAAATATCAACATAACTTTTTATTTTTTAGTGAAAAAATAAGATTAAAAAGGCATTGTTTTACATGTTTGCAAATCTCTTTAATGTCTGACTTAATAGAAAGCAGCTGGATTCTCATATTCTGCATTTATTCTGTGGCAATAAGTTATTTTGGCTGAAATATGTGAAGAAAATCCAACTACACATAGGTAGTTAGAAAAGGGAAGCGTATTTGAATAGCCTCTTTATATAATTGTGGATATTCTTCTTTGATACTACACCAAAACTCAACAATTGCTAGTTTCTTAAGGGTAAATTCCACCAGAATATGAAACCATATCAATGCACTTTTCATACTCGTTTACATTAAAATCTATTGTACTTTGAATTAATCTTTTACTCATGAATGATTTTGTAACATTATATATTACTCAATTAGAAAATATTGGTTCACTAAGTTTCCCAAATGTTGACATATTTCATTTTACGATACTAAAAAACCCACATTTGTTAATATCACTACCAGTTTTATCAGAAAATTTTTTAAGTATTGGGAAGCTGCCAAACTCACTGTGGCAGAAAAAAGCTTTCCAAAATTTTTTTGCTTCAAAGCTCAGAGTTTATCCTTGGCAACCAATACTCTCAGTTGTTTGCCTTGAAGTGACAGGTTCACTTTGTTCAGTTTGAAAAATATCTGCCAAATGCCCAAGTCTGAATAATCACAGTTTTTCAGTCATTCTTTCAGGTAAAAATAGTGTTCCATGAAAAAAAGTGGCTAGTTGTTGCCTGTAGCTCAGTTGCTCAAGTACTCTTCCTTGAGACAACCATTGTACACTGTGGTGTGTAGCAGAAGTGCTTTAAAGTGTGCTTCCCGTTTTGTAGCACAAAGTATTAAAAAGACATGGTCTCAAGGGTCAAGATTTAATAGTCATTTTTATAGCTTCATCAAGAATATTCTTAAGTGAAGCTGGCACTGTTTCTTTTTTTTTTTTTTTGTGAGGAAGTTCAGCCCTGAGCTAACATCCGTGCTAATCCTCCTCTTTTTGCTGAGGAGGACTGGCTCTGAGCTAACATCTATTGCCAATCCTCCTCCTTTTTTTCCCCGCACCCCACAAAGCCCCAGTAGATAGTTGTATGTCATAGTTGCACATCCTGCTAGTTGCTGTATGTGGGAGGCGGCCTCAGCATGGCCGGAGAAGCGGTGCGTCGGTGCGCGCCCGGGATCCGAACCCGGGCCGCCAGTAGCGGAGCGCACGCAGTTAACCACTAAGCCACAGGGCCAGCCCAAAGCTGGCACTGTTTCTATTGCAAGTGCATGGTGGCAAGGGGTACAATACGAGCACAGCCAGTTGTCACTGTCTCGAGTCTGAAGTGCCAGCAGTTTTACCCACCACTGCTTTTGCACCAGCAGTGCCAATGTGAAAAAGGCAAATAACATCTTAGTCTTATGAATATAGTTCTGAGGATTTGAATATAGTTTGGGGATTCTGTGGAAAGGTCTTGGGGACCCCCAGTGTTTTGTGAACCACTCTTTGAGAACCACTGCTAGCACATTCCTAATACAGTGTGATGTATCTTAGACTATTTTCAATAAGGACTCAGAGGCTCTGGAAAAAAAAAATCAGACAAGTTGTTTTCTACCAGTTAATTATTGCTAAGCACAATTTCTATGAAAACTCTCAAAAGAAGCATCCTTTTTAGTTCTCTCTAATTTAAAAACAAAAGATGTCCAAAGAGCAGCAAAATGCAGCCAAATCTACATACAAGGCTAAGCACAGACTGATTAGCTAAAACCCCATTTTTCTCAAATAATCTTTGAGGGTGCCAAGACCACTCAATGGGGAAAGGACAGTCTCTTCCACAGATAATGTTGAGAAAACTGGATATCCACATACAAAGGAATAAAGGTGAAGCCTTATTTTATACCATATGCAAAGATTAATTCAAAATGGATTAAAGACCTAAATGTAAGACCTAAAACTGTAAAACTCCTAGAAGAAAACCTTCATGACATTGGACTTGGCAATGATTTCTTGAATGTGACACCAAAAGCACAGGCAACAAAACAAAAAATAGACAAATAGGACTACCTCAAACTTAAAAACTTTTGCACATCAAAGAACACACTCAACAGAGTGAAAAGGCAACCTATGGAATGGGAGAAAATATTTGCAAATCATGTCTGATAGGAGGTTAATATCCAGAATATATATATTAAAAATCCCTCCTACAACTCAACAACAAAAAATTAAATAAGCTGATTTTAAACATGGGCAAAAGACTTGAATAGACATTTCTCCAAAGATGATATACAAATAGCCAATCAGGATATGAAAAGATACTCAACATCACTAATCATCAGAAAAATGCAAACCTCACACCCATTAGGATGGCTACTACCAAAAACAGAAAATAACAAGTGTTAGCAAAGATGTAGAGAAATTAGAACACTTGTGCACTGTTGGGATTGTAAAATGGTGTAACCGCTATGGAAAACAGTATGAAATTTCTTCAGAAAATTAAAAATACAAATTCAAAATGATCCAGCAATCCCACTTCTGGGTATATATCCAAAAGAATTGAAAGCAAGGTCTCAAAAAGATTTGCACACCCATGTTCATAGCGGCACTATTCACATTAGCCAAGAGGTGGAAGCAACCCAAATGTCCATCAATGGGTGAATGGATAAACAATGAATGTTGTACATACACATACAATGAAATATTATTCAGCCTTAAAAACAGGAAATTCTGTCACAGGCTACAACATGGATGAAGTTTGAAGAAATTATGCTAAGTGAAATAAGCCAGTCACAAAAAGACAAATACTGTATCATTCCACTTACATGAGGTATCTAAAATAGTCAACTTTATAGAAACAGAAAATAGAATGGTTGTTATCACAGGCTTGAGAGGGGGAAGGGGAGTTGTTGTTTAATAAGTGGAGAGTTTCAGATTTGCAAGATGAAAAAGTTCTAGAGCTCTGTTTCACAATAATGCGAACATACTTAATAGTACTTACACTTAAAAATAGTTAAGAAGGTAGATTTTAGATTATAAGTTTTTTTGCCTAAATAGATAGATAGATAAGACCCATTTTTCACTACCTAAGCATTTCACTGAGGTTACTATTAATACTCTCACTTTTCAATACCCAGTCTCAGTTGGAAAAGTGACTTCAGGAAAAGGTGAGTGAGGAACAGAACATGGAGACCTTTAGAAAGAACCATCTGCACAATGTCCCACACTTTATTTGGCCCAACTCTGGCTCCCTTTGGTTGTGCTCCTTCTATCAGGGCAAGGAAACCCTTGGTGGGCAGGCCTGCCCAGAGTCTGCATCTACTCTGTTGACCATTATCTGTGTAACCAGGACTCTGGAATTCCCTGCCCAGTCAGCCCTGAGTTGGCTGCTAGGGTGGGAGAGCTTCATCTCCCAACCTATTTTCCCTGGGTGGACCACACAACCAGGGAAGCCCTACTTCTGAGGACTGGCCAAGTGAGGGGAGTCTGCAGGGGAGGTGGGTAGAGCTCAGACATCCAGCCTGGGGCGCCCACAAATGACCCAGAGGGCCCTCATGGCATGAGACAAGGCCAAGCACAGAAAGAGAAGGAGGGGTTGGCTGCAGGTCAAGACCAACTCTTCACACACTACCACATTCTGGTGTGGAACCAAGAAGTCTAAATTTGAACCTGGGCTCCCAGATAATTATCAAGGCATAGTTGTCAAAGTAGAAGGATAGAACATTTTATTTAACATTTTATTGGTTAGATATGTAACTTTTAAATGTGGTACATGGGCTTCCGTTTGTATGCTTGCCCTGGGCCCCACAAATGTTAGGGGTGAGCCTGGTGTGAAGAATGGTCAAAGTAATAAAAGAGAAAAACATGACAGTTGGATGAAAGGAGAGAAGGTTAGCACCCCCCTTGACAAGGATGGAAGAGGCCCTTAGGCCTGACAATACACATATGGTCAAGGCATGGCCACCTAATTCGCGGCATCCAACCACGGTTTTTACATTGTACACCTTATACTTACACAATTTTAATGTCAATTATATCTCAATAAAGTTGGGGAAAAAAAGAAAACCTTTGTTTTTTCTATAAACTTAAGTATATTCCATATGATGCTGCAGTGCAATCAATTACAACATATCTCAGAGCAAGTGTCTTTCCTCAGCCATTGAGACAAACATTGTAGAAAGTCTTTGCCTCAGTCAAATAATAGTTTCACAATCCTTCCCTTGATCAAATTCCATAACTGCCTTTCACATCATCCAAGAACAATGTGGCTACCAGAAATGTCAGCAGAGGAGAGGCAGGCAAGAGCAGAAGAGAGAAAACTGATTGATTTAAAGCACCTAGGTGTTGATGGCAAACCCTTAGTTCACATTCCTGTCATGGACAGATATTGGAGTTTATAATGACTTGCATTCCATAGGAGTTGAAGGAATGAGCCATGGTTCTCAATAGAGCGCAATTTTGCCTCTCCTGGTGACATTTGACAATATCTGAAGACCATTTTAATTGTCATGACTGGGGTGGGGAAGGGTGTTCTATTGGCATCTAGTGTGTAGAGGCCAGGAACGCTACTAAATATCCTACATTGTATGGAACAGCCTCTCACAACAAAGAATTATCCAGCCCAAATGTCAACAGTGCTGTGGTTAAGCAACCCTGGGTAGAGAGAGGGTGATTGCGCAAGGCAATTGGTTGTGTTTTCACGGCCCCCTTTCTAAACTCTGCTCAGGAAAATCACTTACCAAGAATATTGTCAAATACCCATACCTATACATTTACTTCCTCCTCATTGCTTAGAGTTAGGCTGCAGATAAAATTTTGAAAGACTTAAAACCCCAAATCCCTGGGAGAGCAGTAACTCATTCTGAATGCTAGGGGTCCACCCTATACTGTTCTATTGAAGGCAACATTGAACCAATTTCCTTCACTATCCAGCCTAAAAATGTGCCTGTTTGAAGAGCAATGCTGAAACTATGCTTTTGGCCTTTCTGGAATGGGAAAGGACAAAGGGCATCTCTCTCCCCAAGACGGTCCAACTGTCCCCAAAACTGTGGTCCAGGTATCAGGAAGGGAGGTCCAGTGGCTCTGCCTAATTTCCCAGGGCTTTGTGGCCTGGAAGTCTCCACCTCCTTCCAAGACTCCTGCCAAAGGCAGGCGAGAGAGCTTGCACAGCTAGAGAGTCTGCAGAACGGGACACACAGAGAGGAATGAGGAATAGGCTTTAAGGGAGTCTAGTGAAGTAGTGAAAGGGGAGTTGGGCTCAGAATCAAAGACAACAGGAATGCAAAAAGGAGGAGAGGATGAGCTCAAACACTAGGATGAAGACTAAAGAAGTTATGGTGAATCGGCTCAAAGAGGGCAAGGAAAGGAAGACTGGAAAGAAACAAGGTGGCGAGGAAGAGGGAATGGGCAAATTGGAAAGAGAGGAGCAGCTGAGGGTGGGAAGGTGCAGAGGTCAGAATGAAAAGGGGAGAGGAGGGAAGGGAAAGACACCAGAAGGAAGGTAAGCATGGTGGGTTCAGGAAAATAAGGTCATTGTGAAGGTGTTCAGAGAACAGAATCGAGAAGAAGAAAAACTAACATGTGACACGAGTGGAGAATATATATTCATTTCTGTGATATCTATCATAGTCATGGAATTCTGGAGCTGTAAGGAACCTGTAGATCACGTGGACTTAATGTCCTCATTTTCAGATGAGAAGGCAGTTTTACAGAGAGGAAGTGGCAGAGTTCAAGTGCGGACAGTTGTCTTAACAAAGCCAGGACCCAAACCTAGGACTCCTCCAAACTAGGCTCTTTTTCCCACCGCCCCCACTGCCTCTCATCAGTGGTCTCCATGCTGATATTTCAGCATTGCCTTTAGTGGAATCTTCCATTCCTCCTCCATCCAGTCAGCACTTATTAGGCACCAGGCTCTAGGCTTGCTGCTGGGGATTTGATGGTAAAAAAAATGGATCTAGATGTGGTCCTTGATCTCATGGTTTGGCAGTCTGAGTGGATTGATGGAAGATTAAATGGGTAACAACACCATGGGACAGGTGTGAACAGAACAAGGCAAAGTGCTCCTGGAGGACAAACACAGGGCACCCAGTTAGGCTTATGGGTCGCGGGAGTAAGGCCAACTGCTTAAAGGAGGAAAAGAGTAACAAATAAGGTGAGGAGGCAGGGAGAGAAGGAACAGTGTCCTAGGGTTGAGGGACTACCATGTGCAAAATTAAGAGAGAGGATGATATAATGACCTGCTGAGAATGACTGGAGGAGAGAATATGTTGGGTGGTGGTGGTGAAAGGTGGTAAGATGAAGTCATATCTTTACAAAGGAGTTCCCAAATAAAGCTTGAACAGTTCACTCTAGCTGAAGAACGGTGAAAGGATCAGAGGAGAGTAAGACAAGAGACAAGGAAGAAATGAAATGTCGTGGCCCAAGCTGGAACAGAAGAGAAGTGAACACATTCAAGCAATACCTAGGAGACAGAATCGCCAGGACCTGGTGACTGAATGAACAAGGGAGAAGAAAGAAGCAAGAATGACATCAGGGTTCTGGACATGGGCCCCCATTTGCATGGTGGAGCTGTTCACTGAGCTAGGGGTCACAGGAGGGGGAACAGGGTGGGGAGAGGTTGCACATGTTGAGTGTGAAGTGCTTGCAGGATACATCCAGGTGGATCCATACAAGGAACAGCTCCAGATAATTATCGAATGCTGCAGTTCTCAACCTTCACGGTACATCAGAATCACAGGGAGCTTTAAAATCCCCAACACCCAGAACTGACCCCACTCCAATGAAATCAGAATTATGAGGGTGGGATCCAGTCATGGGTAATTTTTAAAGCTCCCCAGGTGGTTCTGTGTATCTAATTGACCATAGGGTCTTCATTGCAGAGCTAAAGGGGAATCACTCTCCATTCTCTTGGGTTCTACATCTGTAAAATGGGAGTAATGATTCTTAGCTACTTCACAAGAGCATTGTGAAAAATAATTACTGTTTGGAAAAGCCTTGAAAGCCATGAATGAAAGGCATCAGGGCCCTCCAAGCATTCTTTTTACAAGTTTCACCTGCTCCCCCAGGGGCCCTCCTCAAGATTTCATCTGTGATCATATCACATGATTCCACATTAGTAACTCAAGAGAAAGGGTTGGGATGACCTAAATGGGAGGTCAAGGTGACTTCAGTGAGGAGCTATGCAACAGAGGCAGGCCATTTCCTTGGTTACTCTGACCATTCTCCATGCAAATATCATTCCCAGTGCCACATGGAAATACAAGTAGGCCCGTGATTACTTTTGGAAGGAATTACTTTTGGAAGCTTTGGGGTTCTAAAAAAAACCCCATGTTTAAGTATTACTGTGAATTTCAAGGTGCTAAAAAAACGTGCAGTGAGAAGAGTTCTTTCCCCGGTAAAACCTGTGTGTTGTATGTCTGGTAAACACAACCTCCAACACTCCAAGGTGTAGTGTACATAGTGTGAGTGACTTTCTCTCTCTCGTTTTCCATGGCCCATTTCTCACCATTGGCTCACTGGGAACATTTATAGAGTTTCTCTAATGACCTAGAGGGACTGACTATATCATCAAGACCACAAGTTACACCACCACTCTCCCTGGCTTCTAAAAGACTTTGAGCTCCAACTGCCAACATATGTTGCAAGACAAGATGAAAAAAAATAATTGCTTAAGAGCTTCCTTAGATTTTTTTTCTTTTAGTGCTAATCATGTGTACCCGGATGTTAGGCCCAAAGAGTAGAAATATCTGAGCTGTCATGATGAAAAGCCACTATTCTTTAAGTCACTGAGTGAAGATAAAATTCCAAACCTATATCATTATGATCAGGAGAGGACTGAATCAGAGGCATAATTAAGGCCAAGAACACAATTCCTCAAACAGCTCTCAGTCAGTGTAAAGCAATTTCAAGGACTGTCTGCCAGCCTCTGGGAGAGAAATTGCTCAGACGGCTTTGAGCTGGTTGTGGTTGTGCGTTATGACTCAAGATGCTTATCTGAAGGGTAGATAGTTGTGTCCAATAAATGAAAAGCTGCTTTGCTTGCCCGTTGAATTCTTGTGTTCAGAGGCCACCACCAGGGGCCTTGAAAAAGTCCTTCCTACATTGCAACATTTCACAATTGAAAAAAACAAAACAAAAAATAAGTTTTCCTGACAGATTTGGACAGGTTTATTCAAACATCCATTTTGCAGGGTCATGGGGCTGGAAGAGATCTTGGAGTTATTTTGAGCCTGGCCACTTCCTTTTATGAATGAAGAAACTGAGGCTCAGAGAAAGGATGTGGCTTTTAGTCTCCAGGCCCTCAAGTTGTTCTCTATTCCCGTGAACTTTCTGAAAGTTAGTTTACTCCAGATAGGGAATGCGACAAGTCAAATTAGCAGTACATATCTTTTTTAATTTCAACCCTAATGCTCTAATCTTGAATGAGAGATGGTTGTTACATTCAATTCCACATAATTTTCTTTATGGGAAATGAACCACATCCAGCACATAATACCCTCCACTCCCACACCGTCACTAAAATCAATTAGAAGTTGTGAAGGAATCTGAGGAGGTTTAGTTTATTTTGCCTTCAGGCAGGAAGGCAGGATAGACTTAAAATGATCCTAATCAGATGAACACATTTTTACAATCTTAAAAATATCCACTGATGAAAATGTGGTATCTTCCCTCTGAAAACGCTGCCACTATCTGTGCTGATTTTTGTGTACTGAAGATGTCATTGGCCCCCTCTCACTGGCCACAGAGAATGAATTCTGAGTCTCTTTCCAGTGGTTGGTTGGACTCATTCTGTATGAAGAAATTGACCTTCCTCGTGAATTTTCAAGATGGACACGGCTGCTCTGCCTGTGATTTTGTGCATAGCTATAGCTACGATTTTGGTCCTCTACTCATAATGCTAAACTAAATTGTCTACCCAGTCCAGCTGTTTCCCACTTAGCTGAGAGCCAGCCATCACAGGATCTGAGGGCTGAAGAGATCATTTAGATCAGCCCTCAAACAGAAAGACATTTCTTTGCCTCTTTGTTTTTTTGGCTGAGGAAGATTTGCCCTGAGCTAATATCTGCTGCCAATCTTCCTCTTTTTGTGTATGAGCCACCACCACAGCATGGCTACTGATAGACGAGTGGTGTAGGTCAGCACCCAGGAACTGAACCTGGGCCATTGAAGTGGAGCACACCAGACTTTAACCACTAGGCCACTGAGGCTGGCCCATGCCTCTTTCTTAAAAGATCTCCCAAGGCAAGGCCTGCAAAACCTCGCTTAGAAATGCATTTTTCCATGTAACCTCGGTTTTCCTAAGTCATTTGTGAAGGAATTAAAAAGAATTATTTTTCTCCTAAGATTAAAGGGATCAAGAAAGCCTTTCCAAAGATTTCGCAACTTACTTTGATATGGGGGTGTTTTGCACACGTTGTCCCCCACACACGGGAACAATACTCCTCTTTTCTATTTTCGTAGAATTCAGGGTCTTGTAAGATAGCCACCCTCCGTCCACTGTATGTCAGGGCAAACTCGCTGCACCCTGCCAGCCGTGTCTTATCATCCTCAGAGACAGGCAGTACAATGGGAATGCTCATGTTGATCACACCATCTGTAGAAAGAGCCATGTGATGCATGAATATGGGATACAAGGTGTGCTGTCCTTTAAGCATGACTCAAATATGCACAATGTCCCTTCCAGACATTTCCTGCAAAAGGCATTAAGACCTAAATCCACCGTGGTTGTGTTGCCTGCACCAGTTTCTCTAGAGTCTATGATGAGAAGTTCTTAAGGGTATTCTCAAAGCAAGAGTTGGGACTTTTGTGGAAAATGGGCTGAGTTTCAAATCGCAGAGGTGGCTTCAGTAAGCTATCTAACTTGGGGGATCAGGAAGGGTGTCTCCCTTCTGGGTTCCTTGTTTAAAGCTTAGTCCTGACCTCAACGTACTAGGGAGCTTAGTCTTTAAAAACCCAATTAAACAAAATAAAGGTTGGTAAAACAAACCAAAACAAAAGCCTCTAGTCTTTCTTGGAAATGAAACTTGTATCAACATTGGCAAGTCTCTTAATATCTGTTTAGGCTCTACTTTCACTACCAACACATTGAATCAAAAAAGAAAAAAAATCACTCTAACATTAAACAACAGAACTCCAAACAAGCAGTCCCCCTGATGTTGTTTGTCTACTGTGCTCCAGGCACAGCATCACCTTTAAATGTTTTTGAAAAGGAAATCACAAGTCTTGCTAGCTCAACCACAGTTGAGAACCATCAGTCAAAAAACCCAGAGGAGTGAAAAACAACATCAAGTTTATTCACTAAAGCTCAGGCCCTTTCCGTAGAGAGTGAGCAGCTCTCACCTTTATGCTGAGTCTGTCACTTTAAAAGGAATTTAAATACACTGGGTGTGCTGGTTTCTCAATATACAACACAACAAATTGGAAGATGTGGAGTGTGGTGTTCAGAAAATTTACATTTTCAGCTGCAAGAAATGTCGAGTGACAGCTGAACCACAAAGAAAGAGACAGGAAAACTGCTTAAAAACACACATTAGAAACAGAGATGGTTAATTTTATGTGTCAACTTGGCTAGGCCATGGTTCCCAGATATTTGTTCTAGCATTATTCTAGATGTTTCTCTGAAGGTATTTTTAGATATGATTAACATTTAAGTCAGTAGACTTTGAGTAAGGCAGATTACCCTCCATGATGTGGTGGGCCTTGGCCAATCAGTTGAAGGCCTTAATAGAAAAAGAAGAGGGAATCATGCCAGCAGACTGCCTCTGGACTTGAACTGTAACTCTTCCCTGGGTCTACAGCCTGCCAGTCTACCCTGCAGATTCCAGACTTGCCAAGCTTCCACAATTGCATAAGCCAATTCCTTAAAAATCTCCTTTCTTGGGGCCGGCCCAGTGGCATAGTGGTTAAGTTCGTGTGCTCTGCTTCAGCGGCCCGGGGTTCACAGGTTTGGATCCCAGGCGCAAACCTACGCACCACTTATCAAGCCATGCTGTGGCAGACGTCCCACATAAAAAATAGAGGAAGATGGGCACAGATCTTAGCCCAGGGTCAATCTTCCTCAGCAAAAAGAGGAAGATTGGCAACAGATGTTAGCTCAGGGCTAATCTTCCTCACCAAAAAAAGAAAAAGAAAAATCTCCTTTCTCTCTCTCTCCCTCACTCCCTCTCTCTCTCTTTCTCTCTTTCTTTCTCTCTCTAGTGCACGCGTGCGCACACACACACGGTTCTGTTTCTCTGGCAACACTGACTAATACAGAAACTAAAAATACAGAGTCATGGGGGTCCTTCAGTGTCGGGGCCAACAATCCCACAGCTCTCCAATCCTCAGGGTACCATTACACTGGAGCTCAGCTTAATAACTGGTATAACTAATGATGACGGAGTCTTAAGTTTCCTTGTTTAACACGTTCTTTTTTTTAAAGTGAATAAGAAGTTGTCGATTGGGTTTTTTTAGAGGTAAGAACATTTTTTAAGTGTTTCTAGATAAAATGGTTAAAAGGTGTAGTTGTTTTTTAGTTTGGGGCTTAAAAGGATACAATTTGGCTCCCCAGAAACATCTAATTTCTTAATGAAGCCAGATAATGTAAAAGAAATTATACAACTGTTTTCCTTCTTTTGTAATTGGGCCCTAACTTTCTAACAAATATGTTAGTCTCTTAATTGTACTTACAGGTGAGAAAATGGGGGCACACAGTTAAGTGTATAACACTAAAGAATATTAGGGAGACTTTGTGGGAGTTCCCAAGTTCAAGACTCAGAAGGGAATGAAACGAAGGTGAACAAAGAAAACATTCAACTCCAGAGGAAAAAAAATGCAGTGATTTATGGATTTCAGGAAATGTACCATAGATTAATGAGGTCTTTTAAACCTAACTTTCAAAATCCAACGTTTAGAGTACCTCTCACAGAGGTAAAGATCTGAGATCTGAGTTCTATTCCTTTGGGGCATAACACTCCCTTTAGTAGCTATGAAACCAAAGTCTCCAGGCAAATCAACTTACACCTTTTAAACACTCTCCAAACGTTACTAGGACCTAAAGAATGTCACAGGAGATAGACAGCAACTGCCAGCAATAAAGAACGCCTGTTTATCATAAAATCCTGCAACCTGCTCTCAGACCCTTTGTAAACCACAAGTAAGATACTGTGCAGAGAGTATGGGTTTCGTGATTCAAATAACCCCTCTGGGGCCGATGGGTGGTGCAAGCAGTTGAGCACGCGCGCTCCTCTGCGGCGCCCCGGGGTTCGCCGGTTCGGATCCCAGGCATGCATCGACGCACCACTTGTCAAGCCATGCTGTGGCGGCGTCCCATATAAATTGGAGGAAGATGGGCACGGATGTTAGCTCAGGGCCAATCTTCCTCAGGAAAAAAAGAGGAGGATTGGCATCGGATGTTAGCTCAGGGCTGATCTTCCTCACAAATAAATAAATAAATAAATAACTCCTCTGTTACAAAGTTCATGGGCAATCAGAGCAGTCCAAGCCCTGTGCAGAGAACAGTAAACTCAAAGTCAGGCGTTCTCCCATCTACCACCTGTGTCATTCGCCTTCTCGGTACTCAGTTTCCTCACTTGAAAAATGGAATAATAAATAACATGTTAATCCCTTGGTTGCTGGGTGGAGGCATGACTAGATCAACGGAGGTTTATGATAAAAGATAAATAAACCCACCACATAGTCCAGTTGAGACAAAGGGCGAGAAGCTAACAAAGAATGACACCTTTGAAGATGTTGATGATCTAATTAGAAATCATGCATTCTGTGGATTGCTGATCACCCTGCTTATACAAAGTGACTTGACCAAAATAAAGTGAAAACAAAATCAAAGCAAAGGGTAAGCAGGGGCCGGCCCCGTGGCCTAGCGGTTAAGTGCGTGCGCTCCGCTACTAGCGGCCCGGGTTGGGATCCTGGGCGCATACCGACCCACCGCTTCTCCGGCCATGCTGAGGACGCGTCCCACATACAGCAACTGGAAGGATGTGCAACTATGACATACAACTATCTACTGGGGCTTTGGGGGAAAAAAAGGAGGAGGATTGGCAATAGATGTTAGCTCAGAGCCGGTCTTCCTCAGCAAAAAGAGGAGGATTGGCATGGATGTTAGCTCAGGGCTGATCTTCCTCACAAAAAAATAAAAATAAAAAAATAAAAGGTCAGGGGGATGCTGGAGGAAGCCTAGCTCTGCCTGCAGCATGCTTGCAGTGCTGTCTTCCATCCATCATTCTGGGTTGAAATGCAAGGGATACTTCACTTTCCTGTTGCAATCACCTCCTTCAGTCCACTAGGTTCCCGCCCAATGTAGCCTCTGATCCACCTTCATCTTGGCCTTGAGAGAAAATCCGAACTGAGGAAACGGCACTCCCTGACAGGTTGTCAAGATAAGAGAGCTAATCTGTGGGATGTTACGGAAAGGAGTTCTACCGAGTAATAATGCCAACTGTTCTCATACACCTGTGGCTACAACTCCACACAGGTGTAAGCAGATTTCCTGTGGTTTCCCTGTCATCTTTATCAACTGTCTCATACATAAACTTATCCAACAATTTAACTCTGTGCTGAAACATCCTCCATGGCTTTAAACATTGACTGGGGCTGTCAGCCTTTTTTCATCGTGTACTTCAGCTCTGGCGGGAACTGCCTTGATGATCTTATTGTGGTATATTTCACTTTGGCAAATAGTAGTGTGGTTTTGTAGCCATGGTTAGTCCAACACATAACTTCATGTTCAATTGAATAATTTTGCTTTTGCTTTAAATAATTTTCAAGCCTTTTGTTTTAACCTTGTAGATCTGCTTATCAGTTGTTGGGGACTATTTCTGTGTATAAACTAAATTACTTTTTATTCCTTAACTAGGCTTTTTTAAGGAAAAACAACAATGATAAAAACAACACCAAAGATAAATGACGTCTTCAGAATTTTACCTTTTCATTCTGGTATAGTGCAGAAGTTTACTGTCGCAGCAAGTGTGTATTTATTCCCAATTCTCTAACTACCAATTGTTATAGCTTGAAATTAAATTCATGCATAATTACACATCACAAACAAATGAAGTACAATCATCCACGATCCAACCAGGTGCTTCACTTTAAATTGCATCTAAAATTGATTTATCCTTCATCAATTATAAATGTTTTATAAATGCAATAGAAAAAAAATTTCCAGATTTGTGAAACTAAATGAGGACCAACACTCAGTAGAAATAATTAGCAGACAGGATCATAAATTTTTAAAATCTCAGGAACAAAATGTGCAATAGTTTAGAAACAAGTTTACTTTTGTCAGCCAAACACAACACTATAAACAACAGCTGCATCTGATCCAGAAATTTCCTGTTATTTGGACTCCAATCCACAGAAGAATATAGCATTATGCTATTATAACTGGTTGGATCATGAATTGTTAGCAATTCCAACTGGTTCATTTGGATCTTTTTTAGTTATGCTCTTAACCATTTCTAATTAATGTAACATATCTAATTATAATAATTTAACTACTTGGAAAGTTAAAGTACATACCAGGAACGACCATGCCTAGAGAAATACAAACACAAGTAAGAAACATGTTTTCAGCTCTCCAGGAAAATAATCTTAAAGCAACAATGTCAAGGAACAAATTCCTATTATGAAACTTCACACATACAACATACAAATATACTGAGCTCTTTCCTATTGCTATTTTTAAAAATAGAGACTATCTGACAGCAAAAAGCTGGTGAAACCAGAATTTGTGTTGAATATTGTTCAATACAATCCAAAAGCATTATTCAGATAATTATCTGTTTTAAAATAATTATAACATACATCAACAGCCCCTCCAACTTTAGCACGAAGTTGTCTCTTACAAATATGTGATGTTATAACTACTGTCAAATGGTCCCAGACCAGACTTTGGGAGATGTGGAAGCAAACTGCTCTAGAACGTCCTAGAATCACAGATGTTTAGAGGGCATGAAACTATGCCCAGCGGAAGTACAAATACTAGAGCCAGGATAACCTGGATTTGAATCCAGGCTTCAAGTGAGTTATTTAAACTTTACAATACTTATTTGCTCAAATGGAAAAAATATCTTCACAGTGGTGTTATCCAGATTAAATGTGATATCCTATGTCAAACGCCAGGGTCAGAACACATTACCTGCTAAATAAATGCTAGCAGTATATATGGAAAGGCCTCAAGCCCTGCCTTGGAAAGCCATGTATTCTTTTAAACTTTCACCATCTGAATGAGATAGGTATAGTTATTAAATCCCCATTTTACAGACAGGGAACTGAGGCCCAGCGAGTTTAAATCATTTGCCCCAGATTCATAGCTCATCACTGGCTGTGAACCCAGATGGTTTGGCTCCACAGCTCACTCTTACCCACTATGATATTCTGCCTCTGTTTAGCTAGAGATGGGCAGCATATTATATCCCTGGTATCTATTTTTATTAACTGATTTACATAGGAGTTGAGGAGGCTTCTGGAGGGTGTGGGGACTTTTGAATCCTAACTACAACTGGGGTTGCCTAGACATGTCCAGTAGACTCTGGTTGCAGGGGTAGATGGTGGAGCCAGCACAGAATCCCTGCAGGGAAAAAAGGAGTCTTGCAGAGAGTCCCAGAAACAGGCCTGCAGGTTGGAATGGGGTGTGGGTTATGGAAACAGCATGACATCTGCTCTCAACCTCCCCTCACATAGCCAAATCAGCAACCACAGGAGAATAAAGAGGTGTGTATGGATTATAGGAGTTATTTCACTCAATTCTCTAGCTCTGTGGGACTCAAGCAACGTGCTGGAGGGTCCTCTACTGAGATTAACACAGAGGAAGGGAACATCCTCCTTCCCACTTGAGAAAGAGTCTGTGAACTGCCACAGCCCTGTGGGCACAAGGCTGACCCGAATGGGCAGGATCTGCACCTCTGTGGGTGCAGAGAGCCACACAGATCCACATAGCAAGTGGCGTATGGCCATGGGCCTGACTCAGGAGCACAGGAAACACACCCCTTGAGAACTCCCACCAACAGGTGGGTGCAGGCTTTGTAAAGAACTGGGATTTCTGTATGAGCAGGTAGGGGCTAGGAACTAGCCAGATTCAAGTATTAATGGGAAAGTGACCTCATTCATATCCGCATAGATGCCTGGACTACTTGGGAAGTGGAAGCAATAATAAGTGCTTCATCCACCTCATGGTAGTGAGGACCAAATAAGAAAAAGACAAGCAATGTGTTTTGCAAATTGAAGAACACTGTAAAATGAAATTGAAATTATGTGAGAGGAAGAAAAAGAGATTTTGCCTAAATTATCCAGAGGGATTATCTGTATTAGCTGTTCTTTATCTTTTTGGATCATAGACTCCTTTAAAAATCTATCAAAAGCTTCGAACTCTTAACCCAGGAAAATTCCCCTTCTCCCCTTCTTAACACAAACTATTTTTGCCTAGTCTAGGATGATTTTGTCCCCTCACCTTGCAGTCCTAGAGCCAAGGTTAAGGACCCTGATTTCTACTAACATTGACTTCTGCAACCACAACCACCGCCCTGGTATTTTTATTTATGGCACAAATACTTGTCAATGGTAACAGCACTGTGTCTGTAATAAGGTCCTCACTTTCAATGTGGTTCACTTGTCTTTTGGCCACAGCTCTGGTCTGAGTGCTCATGGTCAACCTCTTGTTCGGGGCTGGCTGCTGAGTCCAGCGACATTTACTTGATCCAGCCTGTCTTTGGCATGTGTCAAAATTAACACATCAAGGTAAATGTCAGCCTTTCTTGTACAGACATCCTGGCTTTCTAACTTTTATTGGAAAGGACATCAAGAGAGCAGCCTGGGATGGAAAGAGCACTGGGCCAAAAGTCAGGAGATTCTCGACTCTGGTCTTGGGCTCCTCACTTATCAATGGTATGAACTTGAGCAAAGGACTTAACCTTAGGTCAGTTTCCTCATCTGGAAAGCAGAATAATAATAGTTGCCTGTCTTCTAGGGCTTTCATAAGGATCAAATAAAATAATGCCTGAGAAAATGCTGTGAAAACAGAGAAATGCTGTATAGATATGCATTATTATTATTGTTAAGGCAAGCTATAAGTAAATCAAGTGTCTTTTGGAATGTTATTTAATCTGAGAAATGAAGGTCTCGGGTTGTGGGACATTATCAGCCACAGCAGAGGAATAAGGAGAGAGAGCCCATTTTGACCAGACTTTGAGTTCTGATTCTGGCTCTATGCCCCATTCCCCAGGTAGAGGTACAAGCCCAGAACTCGAACGTCTTTACCAAGAAAGAACATCTCACCTGATTTTTCTTCCTCAAAGGTTTGGAGCCCTGCTCAGTATTACAAATTCAAGAGGAAGATGGGCACGGATGTTAGCCCAGGGCCAATCTTCCTCAGCAAAAAGAGGAGGATTGGCAACAGATTTTAGCTCAGGGCTAACCTTCCTCACCAAAAAAAAGAAAAAACAAAGCCGGCCTGGTGGCACAAGTGGTTAAGTGCACGCACTCCGCTTCAGCGGCCTGGGATTCGCGGGTTTGGATCCCAGGCGTGCACTGACGCACCACCTGTCAAGCCATGCTGTGGTGGCGTCCCATATAAAGCAGAGGAAGATGGGCACGGATGTTAGCTCAGGGCCAATCTTCCTCAGCAAAAAAAGAGGAGGATTGGCATCAGATGTTAGCTCAGGGCTGATCTTCCTCACACACACACACACAAAAAAAGCCAAATTCAGCGTGACTCTACCACCACCCCTTCCCCACTTAGCAGTCATTCTCCAAGGTCTTGACATCGACAAACTCCATTTGATAAGCTCAGGCAGTTCTAGGAAGGAAATGACCATAGAAGGGACCGGAAGTTTTCTGAATAACACATGCTTGTGACCTTGATCAGATCAGTTCTCTAGAAGCCATCCAGCTTGTGCCCAGAAAGCTGCCTTAACACCCCCTGTTAGAATTTCCTGGATGAAGCCATCCTAATATACTTCATGTATGGACACGGATATCGACACTTTACTATCCACCAAGGAGAGGAGCTGCTGCAATAATGTTTGACAGACCAACCTGGAGGGTAGGAGGCACCCTGCCAATGAGCACCGTGTGCTGAGTTCATCCTGGCTGCCGCAGGATGGTCCTAGCAGCTGGCAATGGTGCTTCCGACTGTCCCCTGCCTTCTGAACACCAGGGCCAGCAAAGGGCAGGTAGAGATGAAGCAGACTTAACCTTCTCTTGGCTTGGTATGCACGTTAAACCTTCATTTTTCAGTTCTTTAGTTTTAAATAATGAATAATCCTTTGAGGATAACCAAAAAAATCCTCAAAATGGAAGCTTATACACAATAGAATTGGACACACTGTAAATGATCTAAATATTTTCACAGTAAGATTTACAAACCAAGGATTAACATTTCTTGTTCCTGTAAAGACTTCTGAGAAACATTATTTTTCTTTAATAATGAAGAGTAAGAAACAAGCAAACGAAAAAAACCTCATACCATCTAGCAGAGTGCCAAAGTGTAAAGCCTGCAAGTACTCCTTCTCCCGCATAAAACCTCTGAGGGGAGTGGCCCAGCCTTCACTCAAAACTTGGACCCACTGAAGATCCAGCTGCAAAACAGGAAAGGCAGGTGAACATTTCCATAAGCTGCTTCCCAGCCATCTGGCCCCAGGGCAGTCCTTTCTTTCCCAGTTAACAGGAGAATGAAGGCAGAACCTTTTATGTTTTAAGTGTTCCCATATGTTATGCTGACCCATGGTCTACGGGCCAGATAAATTTGTGTCTAGAACTTTCCTACAGGACAGTGGTGAAAAGATTTCAAGTTGAGATGATTTATTTGAATACTTCAGGCTGTATCTATCCTTATGATGTGTGTGTTGAAAATTCACTCTTCTTTCTTCCTTTTTTCCACAAAAATTCTTGTTTGGCTACATTTTTTCACCAAATGTACCTAGTTATTTGAATGAATTGGACAAACCATTGAGTCCAAGATAAAAGTCCAAATTCTTAGCATGATACTGAAAGCCCTTTAAGCTCTGGTCCCCTGGGGCTCATGTAGGGATTTCTACCTCCTCCCACTCCCCACTTGGGGGCCTATTGCCAAAAGTGCCAGACAATGTATAGTCTAAACACACATGTGGTTTCTGGCCTATCACCCTCCCCACCTGAAAACTCCTCTTCATCCTTTAAAACCCAGCTCATGGGTTACTGCTCTGAAACCTTTCCTGTCAGCCCTAGGACTAAAAAAACTAATCATTAAATTATTTGTTCTTCTGTACTTTGCAGCCCGTTTTCTTATTGAAACTATCATTCCACACTGTAATTAAAACTATGTGTTTCTCATCTGCCCGGAGCATTGGAGTGCTCAGGATTTATTTTGTAAAGTCAGGGGGCTCCGTTTATAAATTGTCATGATTTACTAGAGTATGGAGTCTTCATGAGCTGAAGCAAGTTCCCAATTTACTCTGTCTCTCATTAAAATGTCCAAAGTTTTAATGGCTAACAAAAAGTTACCAATGAAGACTTGATCACCTTATATGTACCAACTAACACTGACCCATAAAAAGGTCAAGGCATCTGCAGGGCAGTTTGCTGGGGCTGCATCTTATATCTTCCAGGTAGTAAAATCAATGCAACCAAAGCTGTCTCCCTCTCTCCTCAGACTAGACTCTCCCTGATGAAGGAAGAGCAGGATTTGCAGAGCAGAAAAAGTTCAAGGCATTCATATCACTTTAGGTCAAGGTTGCTTTCCTTTTCTTCAAATTCCTTCTCGATTGCCCAAGAAGCACTTGTATTCTGGACAAACTGTTTTCTTAGCCGCTGCCAACAAATAATTACTGCCTATTGCCTGCAGTTTGGCACAATCAAAGGTAAAAATGACAACTATGTAAAATTGTCCTATGCAAATATACAAGTTACCTTCCTGGTCTGCCTCTGTAGATGGCATTGATCAGCTGCCTTGTGTAAACTCTTGGTAACAGATTTATTTGGAGAAAAGGTAAGAAATAATTGGCAAAATGAAGTGTTTTTCTTTATGGACATTGCATTTCCCTTATGCATACCTTCCTTAATGTAACTGCAAATGGGTTACAATGACTGATGTGAAGCCTAATTCTCCTTGGGCCAGTGCGCACCCTCTCACCTTGGTAATTGATAACGAAGGGAGAGCTTCAGCCTCAGCTTGCACCTGGCCGAGCTTGTTTTCGGGCACAAAGAGTTCATGGATGCCTTTGATTACAGTATGGGGTACAATGTTCTGAAATGAAGCAGAATTGTGAGCAATTTGAAATGAAAACAGTAAAAAGAAGGCTTCAGCTAATAGATTATCTTTCATGACTTTATTAAGTTAAAATCAAAAGACAACCAGTCCACCCACCTGCTCTTGCAGAAGTTCCACTACCTGCTGGACACAGTCACCCACTGAAGACAAGTTGGTTTTCAGCACAAGCTCAGGAGTTTCAGGTTTCTCATAATCAGAATCAATACCCGTAAACCCTGCAAGACAGAGGGTGAGAATCACATCTGCACCGACAGAACAACTGTTTTAATCAATAAGATATAACACGTGTTAGAAGAGTGTGTGAAACTGAGAATTCACGTTAGAATAGAAAAGGTCAAACAACCATCCTTGACCTCCAGCCATAGATAAGAAAATATACAACTATATTGTCAATATAGAAAGCCCCTGATTTGCAACAACATCTTTCTAAGTCCAAGCCCTCTGCAGCTGATTAGTTTCAAAAAGGAAGACAAGGAGAAGGAAAAACTCTGAAACACACACTCACAGATCCATATGCACTGTAGTTCTCCGAAATTTATTGCGTATGGGTGAGGCGATTGTTCTTGACAATTACAAGCCCACATTTTAATAAGCCCATGGATATAATGAATATATTATGGTTTGATAAAAAGTTGTGTATTCTAGGGGCCGACCCCATGGCCGAGGGGTTCAAGTTCCACGTGCTCCGCTTTGGCGGCCTGGGTTCGCGGGTTCAGTTCCCGGGTGCAGAACTATACCACTCATCACCATGCTGTGGTGGCGACCCACATACAAAATAGAGGAAGATTGGCACAGATGTTAGCTCAGGGCCAGTCTTCTTCAAGCCAAAAAAAAAAAAAAAAAAAGGAAGATTGGCAACAGATGTTAGCTCAGGGAGAATCTTCCTCAGCAAAAGAAAAAAATAGTTGTGTATGTTATATGCAATTTTGGAAAGCAGTCTTTGAAACTTCAGAGAGATTTGTGGGGACAGACTGAGAAGTATCAATAGCATAAGTAACTGACAATGGTGCCACTCACTGAGCTGGTTCTCCTACCTTTGATCTCCCCGGCTCGGGCCCGTTTGTAGAGGCCTTTTACATCTCTGCTCTCACAAATATTCAGAGGCGCATCCACAAATACTTCAAAGAATGGCAGTCCCGCTGATTCATGGATTTTGCGGGCATTCTCACGATCCTGGAAAAAAATACACATAAGAATGTAAGAAGAGGTTTCACAATGAAATTCTTCATCACAAAACATTGTGCGCTCTAGAATTCTATAGCCTTAAGAAACAGTGGAGTTTCTGCAGAGGTGGTGGGAAACTCGTCCTTAAGTCCAGAAGTTTTGCTCTAGTAAACATAGCTCTCTCAAGGACTTTCAGAGAAAACCACGGGAAAGAAACTCTACTAAAGGACAGGGCTGGCAATATGGGAGCATTTCATTCAAAAGGTGTGTTCAAAGCATGCAGCGTCTTATTCGTAGTTCAAAGAAATTTCCTGTTTTGAAACAGGAAGAATGACACTCCACCTCGCTGATTTCAACATTAAACACACATAACCCTATGCTTTGACAATAAACTGCTGTTTTCTTCAGCAGGCCAAGCATTCTGGCCTTTTGGAGATATGAAATCACAGTTTAAAGTTTAAAGTTTTTCTTGTTTAAGTTTTTCTTCCTTCAACTCTGGCCAAATGTACCCTACAACTGTGAACGCGGAAGAGTTTATGTCAACCGGTGCCCTAGCATCTGGAAATGAAGGAACTCTCTTCTTATAACCAATATTAAATAGAGGAAATGAGGGAGCAAGTGAGGGGAGGAAGAAACAGTGGGGGAAACTGAAAGCTTAACATTCCCTTGTGCCCTCCCCCCACCCTCCTCCTTTTCCTGGCAGTCTGAGAGCACTGGCGCTGTGTGTGGGAATTGTGTGCAGCCGAATCATCTTACCTTTGTGAAAGGAGAAATGAAGCTGGTAATGCAGACCAGACCAGCATCAGCAAACAGCTTAGCCACCTCGGCAATCCGCCGGATATTTTCTTCTCTGTCCCCGGGAGAGAATCCAAGGTTCTTGTTGAGGCCATGACGGATGTTGTCCCCATCGAGGGAGTAACACGGGATGGCGTGGGAGACAAGGTACTCTTCCAGGGCAAAACTTATGGTTGTTTTTCCAGCACCGGAGAGACCTGTTCAGAACAGGCAAGACAAACTGGCATTGTCCCCAATTGTTTAAGATGATAAATTGTGACTTGATCCAGTAATTTAAGTGTAATTACACCCTCATTACAATCATTTGATTGACCTCAAATCAAAACCATTAAAATCTAGAAAAAGCATAGTTTTCTACAAGTACTTGTATTTCTTTCAAATCTTGAAATATAACTATTTGTCCCTTGTTAGGATTATAGCCTTTCAAAGCAAGCAGGGTTCATAAGTAGGGAGACCTGGGGGGCTGTGAATGGTTCTTGGTGAGTTCTGCTTTGCCTGCAGAATGTTTTAAAGATTAGAAAGTTGTGCATACAAATCCAGATTCTGGCTTCTCTTGAAAAAATCAGATCTGCCGACTGTTCTCTTATCCCCTCCTGACAGCAATCAGCTGGAGTGGAGGGGACAGGCAGCCCCTGGAAACTGGGAGCCCCACCTCCCTTGTGGACGTCACTAAACAACCATCTGACAACAGAGCCCACATACTGTCCTTTTGGCTTCAAGATGTTTCCAAGATGACTCTCAAAACATGAAGACAGAGAGCCCTCCTGAGCTAGGCTACAGATGAATTTGAGCTGCCATACACTGTTAGGTGTTTGGAGTCTTTACGTGAGAACAGAGTTACCCCGTGCCTTTTGCCGTGGCTTCAAAGCACAATGATTGGAATATACTTTATAATTTCTATATGAGGGCCGGCCCCGTGGCTTAGCCGTTAAGTGCGTGCACTACGCTGCGGGCGGCCCGGGTTCGGATCCCGGGCGCACACCGACGCACCGCTTCTCCGGCCATGCTGAGGCCGCGTCCCACATACAGCAACTAGAAGGATGTGCAGCTATGACATACAACTATCTACTGAGGCTTTGGGGGGAAAAATAAATATAAATAAAATCTTTAAAAAAAAAATAATTTCTATATGAGACAAGACACAAGGAGAAAGGGAAAGAAATGCCACCTGCCAGAATTACTTAAGAGCTCCAAGTCTAAACTACCCTGGAAAAGTAGCAGTCTAAAAATTCAGTTGTCCTGAAGATCTCTGAACCCGAAGAATACGCCATCATGCCAAGCCACTGTCAGATGGTACCCGGGCACGGGAGAGGAAAAGTTAGAGGGGAAGAAAAGAAGGTCAAGAGGTTAATACAGAAAAGACAGCAGGAGGAAAAGAGGAAAAAGATGGAAAATAGAAGAGCAGGGATGAAGGACAGAGAGGAAGGGCAGAAAGGAAACTTGGCAAGAAAGGCAATATACGAAAGGTAAACCACTAGTTTCCATATTTTCAGCTATGTTTTAAAGTCATGCCCTTGGCTTTGACAAGAATCATTAGAAGAAATGGCTACATGAAGAATGTGTTGGCAATCTTTTTAAATCATTACTGAAGACATTGTTTATTATATTATTATGGAACTCAGTGTCATTTGAATAAAGACTAATATGATAAATTAAATTCCTCTTAAACTTTATGTCCAGTCGTGGGGTAGGAGAAATGGAACTCCTGAATCTCTAGTATGTTCTCTTGCATCATAAAATGAGAGAAATAATAGAAATTTCCTTCGATTTTTCTTCAGCTCTCAGGAAACTAAGAGCTAAATCACAGTAACTGTATTAAACTAGATTGTTGGCCACTTTTATTTCAATACATTGGGGTAACATTAATTACATTTACTGAGAGTTTTACTATGGGCCAGGCACTGTGCTAAGTGCACATATACATTTAGTTCTACCTCCACCTCTGTGAGGCAGGTACTATCTTTATTCTCATTTTACAAGTAAGGAAACTGAGGCTTAGAGAGGTTAGTTGGCTTGTCCAAAATCACACAGTTAATGTAGGTGGAGCTGGGGCTCAAATCCCTGTCTCTGGATTTGAAGTATTTGGTTTCTTCTGGTCTGCCTGGTCAATATCCTACCTCTGTAACATGAGAATACAAAATAAATTGGGAAAAGATGATTTTTTAAGAGTAAGAAAAGACAGGGGAAGAATACCCTTCAGATTTTTTTTTTTCTCTTCTACCATTTCTCTTTTTCTTTTCGAGGATGTTCCATATTAGAAAAAATGGACTCTGTGTTTATGACCCAATCCAAAAGTTGGGCAAACACATGAAGGCAAACATATCATGAATCAAACACATAACAAGAGGGAAACATCTGGAACACAGCTGTGTTTTATCCACCACAAAACATCACGCCTCTCGAGGGAGTGGAGGGAAACATTTCAGGAATCATGACAGGTGAATACCACCTATTGGAATACAGCAGGCTCCTTGCCCACTGTCTATCCTCACCCCAAAAGCTGCAAAAAGTCGTTTTACCAGGAATGAATGGAATCAGGAAACCAAAGCATGTGCCACAGGCACTAGGCAAAAACTTGCAAAAGAAGAATGAGGCTGATTTAGACAGGAATGGGAAACACTCAGAATAGCAATAAAAGATGCAAAGCAGGTCCTTCCCTGCAATATTCTATAGAATTATCTTCAGATAAATCAGCATTTGTGAGCGATAGTAACATATGAGTTGATTTCATAACCTTGATAAACATATCTTTGGATCTGAACTCATCTGCATTTGAAATATCATTTCTATTAAATGCACATGGTTTTTCCTTTTGAGTCCAGGCTATGTCAGACTTATATTTCCAGGAAACAATTTCCTCTACCTTGCACTCAGAGTATAAGGTAACAGCCTAGGACTAATCCCATTTCTGTCACTAACCCTTAGCTTTGACATTCTGTGGCTATAAAAACACAAGAAAGGGGAGATTCATTTGGTCACCTCAGTGAGAGCAAGTTATTTCTGTATATAAGGGGCAATCCTCTGCCAAATAGAAATCACTAGGTTTCCTTCTTGTGTAGATTCTTATGTGCTTTTTTTTAAAAACTGAATGAAATAGTTCCCTAGAATGTTAAAACATCAGAAAACAATAAAGAACATCTGTAAACATCCAAAACTTTATGGACAGCCAAACGCTTGATGTCGAATTAGGAAAGCTCCATTCCTAACCGCTAGTAAATGTGTTTAGGCATGAACATGAGAATTATGGAATTCCTTAGAGCTGAAAGGGAATGTCATAATCAACTTGTCCCATCCCTTCCCGCCAAAGAGGAGAAAACTGAGAACTAGAGATGTTCCATGACTTGGTCCAAGTTCTACTTCTCACTGATGGTAGAGTTAGGACTTACACCGGGGCTTTTTACTACAGCTCTCAGCCTCCTTCTAATGTTAAAATAAACATGTAATATATGTCATATGTTACACTAATTTTCTTAAAATTGTGTGTCACATGTTGATTTTCAGTTAAAAAAAATACATATATATTGCAACACGGCATACCTGTCAGCCACACGGTACATCCTCGGAACCCGCCCCTTGTTCCAACCACCTGCCCTCTCTTGTTCCTGCTTACGTGGTGGGCCTGATAGATGACATTGGTGGATTTCTGCTGGCTCTACAAAACAAGACAAAATCAAGCAGAATATTTGATTAATAAAATAATAAATATATATAAATATAATAAAATAACAGATTACATTAATAGTCTTCCCTAACTGAAACGGCTCTTTTATAACTGGCACACAGAGTAACGTTTATTAATTCCACTAATTTAGAAACAGACACTACCTTTAGAATACTCCTCATGACCCTTTGAAAGTATAATTTGAATGAGACAATTATTGATACAATGTAAAAGTTCTGGTTCCATGACATTTAAAAATGTGCACCTTTACGTAACGGTGGGGGGAATGCCTTTGTTTCTATAAATGCATGTTCTTCCCAAGCCCTATGGGCATAAACTGAAAATGACCTAAATATTCCAACCGCTGAGGAAATACTAGAGTGAGGCTGGTTGAGCCTCACTCTCTACAGAGCCAAGGAGAGGCCCAGATCACAGAGTAAAGAGTTCAAGTCAGTAATACTCCTCTCGGTCCCACCTGATATCAGACCTCAGGGACTTAGGAGTTGAGTCCTTGAGTGGAGGCAAGATGCCCAAGGCTACTTTTTCATAAGCATGAAACTCTGCTTCCACTTTCCCAAGGGTCAGTGTGTGAACATTTTAATTTTTCAGAAAGCCCTGCAGAAATGGAAATGTACCAGTTATTAGTCTTGTAGGCTGATTCAAATCTCGAATGTTCTTATTTTTGCTGTAATAAAATCAGCCCACTGAGGACACACATTATCTGATCCTAATCCTAAACTCTGGCTGAAAGGCATATGTCTGATGAATAAAATAGGTTAAATGAACCAATAAATACAGATTTTGGTGGACATTTTTTTTTTTTTGGTGAGGAAGATTAGCCCTGAGCTAACATCCATTGCCAATCCTCCTCTTTTTGCTGAGGAAGATCGGCCCTGAGCTAACATCTGTGCCCATCTTCCTCTATTTTGTATATGGGATGCCACCACAGCATGGCTTGATGAGAAGTGCATAACTCCACCCCCGGGATCCAGGCCTGCAAACCCCGGGCCACCCAAGCGGAGACCATGCACTTGACCACTACGCCACTGGGCCAGCCCCTCTTGGAGCCTTTTAAACACCACACACGTACACTCACCAAAGCTAAGAAAGCACTGATATTCTTTGAGCAAGACCTGAAGAGTCCTAGAAAACTCTGGGACACATAAGGGAACTCTGGAGCAAATCAAATCACCTCTTTATGCCACCTCCTTTGGGGAAAAAAAAACAAAGTGGAATACAACTAGGACCATCTGGAGGCTTATATGAAATACTGGATGTGAACATGCTCTGTAAATAGCAAAGTTCTCTACCAATGTGGATGCTGACAATTATTATTCAGTATATACTCCCAACAGGAAAGGCTGGAGCCAGCTGGATTAGGACCAGGAATATGGCTTCAAGACCCAGGGGGAAGGGCCTGCTAGAAAGGCACAGAGCCCAGCAAAGGGGCATCCAGGCAGGGGACGGACATTATTCGTGTCAGAGGAAGTTAAGAGGAAGGTGTTGAAGGCACAGTGGGATCAGCTGGGTTAAGTTACCTAAAACCCTCCAAAGCTGGATGCTCTGATCATCTATCAAGCAAACCTGGTCAGAACCCAAGATTTAGAAGGGGTTAGGATATAGTCCAGAATGCGGCAGGTTAGACAGCAGTGGTGGCTTCACTAGAAGGTTCATAAACAAGAAAAATTAGGCTAGTCCCTGAGTTAATTAGAAGTATTTCTCCTCAGTGAACAAGAGCCCTGAAGGTATCCTGAGTCCTTTGTGCCAAGTGTACTTTATAGCTTAAGGGTAATATTAAAATTTTCTTTTTCTCTATTTCCTTGTTAATCACTGCCATTAAATTCAAGAACACTGTGTCTGGAGATCAGGCCCCAAAGTCAGTCCATCTGTTCACGCATTGATTCTTTCAGTAAATGTTTGTGTAAATGAGCTCCTACTATGGGCCAGAGCCATCCTAGACACTGCGAACACAGCACTGAACAAGGCAGAATCCCTGGCATCATTTTGAGGGGAAATACAGACAAAAAGATCAAGCACCTGGGGCCCCACTCCCCGGAGGAGGGGGAGGGTCTCATACATACATCTGTATATTATACAAAGATATATAAAGAACACCTACAACTCAAGAATAAAGAAAACCCAATTTTTAAAAATGGGCAGAAGATTTGAATTGTTACTTCACAAAGGAAGATACACAAATGGCCAGTAAGCACATGAAGAAGTGCTCAATGTCATTAGTCATGAGGGAAATGCAATTTAAAACCAAAATGAGACGCTACTGCTAACATATAATGGCAGCAAGGACCTACTCTCGTATGTTATAGAGGAGACGTAAAGTGGTACAACCATCTAGGGAAAAAAACTGGCAGTTTCTAATAAAACTAAACACTTACCTCCCCTATGACTCAGCAATTGCATTCAACGACATCTACTCAAGAGAAAACATGTACAGGCATATCTTGGAGATATTGCGGGTTCAGTTCCAGACCACCGCAGTAAAGTGAATATCGCAATAAAGCAAGTCACACGAATTTTTTGGTTTCCCAGTGCATATGAAAGTTATGTTTACACTATACTGTAGTCTATTAAGTGTGCAATAGCATTATGTCTAAAAAAACAATGTACACACCTTAATTAAAAAATGCTTTAGGGGTCGGCCCAGTGGCACAAGCAGTTAAGTGCGCGCACTCCACTGCGGCGGCCCAGGGTTGGCCGGTTCGGATCCTGGGCACGCACCAACACACTGCTTGTCGAGCCATGCTGTGACAGCATCCCATATAAAATAGAGGAAGATGGGCACGGATGTTAGCTCAAGGCCAATTTTCCTCAGAAAAAAGAGGAGGATTGGCATCAGATGTTAGCTAAGGGCTGATCTTCCTCACACACACACACACACACACACACACAAAATGCTTTATTGCTAAAAAATGCTAACCATCATCTGAGCCTTCAGTGAGTCATAATCTTTTTGCTGGTGGAGGGTCTTATAAAAAACACAATATCTGTGAAGTGCAATAAAGCGAAGCACAATAAAACGAGGTATGCCTGTACCCACAAAGAGAATTGTACAAGAATATTCTTAGCAACTTTATTTGGACCAAAACTGGAAATAGCCAAGTGTCCATCAATAAGAAAATAGATAACAAAAAATAAAACAAAACAAAAAAACTCCAAAAAACAAAAACCCAAAACTGTAGAATACTTATATAATGGAATACTACTCAGCAATAAAAAGGATTGGACTACTGGCACATACGACATGGATGAAACTGAATGGAAACATTACACTGAATCAAAGAAGTCTTACACAAAAGAAACTACACATGACTCCATTTACATGAAGTCCCCAAATAGGGAAAACTAATTTGCTAAATCAGAACAGCAGTTGCCTCTGGGGTGATGACATTGTTAGATGTTTTGATAAGGGTTTGAGGTAAAAAAGTGTTTGCATTTGTTGGAACTCACTGAATGTACACTTAAGATAGATATTTCATTATGTGTAAATTTAACTACGTGCAAAAAAGAGAGCCATTAAAAAAAAGTAAGCAAACAAGAAAATACATAATGAGACTCAGATGGTAAAATTATATTGTTTAACATTGCTGCATTTATGGAAAAGGGCTCTGATCCCAATCACAGCATATTTGACTTACGGGGCTGCTGCCCACCTGTGCGCAGCTTAATCTGTCCACAGAAATTTTTTTCCTCTCTCTTTTGACTGTTTCTTCTCCCAACAAGCAGAGATCCAGAATAAACTCCACGCTTTGTTAGTCTTCTGTGGAAACTTAGTTATGATCTTGCTAACTGCCTCCCAACAAGTGCTTGGTTTTCAAAAACAGTTCGGAATCCACCAGAAGGAACTACTCTAATACAGTACAGTATTTAATAATTAATCTCTGAACTTTTGGTTTTTATTAGCTGCATCTTAATCATGAATGTTTGTACAGATTTTCTATCATGCCAGCAATGTTTAAACAACAAAATATTTTCAGATACTGGTAGTGAGCTTTTTTGGTTCAGGAGGATATTTTGCTTCTTATTTATCTCAGATTTACCCTTGATTTTCTCCAAAAGGCAAACAAATAAAATAGAAGCAGCTGTTTTGCATGGTATTTTAACTGTAAAGGGGCAGGGCTTCTGAAAACTTCTTTTCCTTGTTGAGACCTTCCCTCCCTTCTAAAGGGCGTATGGTATTCTCTACATGTCTGGTATTTTCACCATAACCATCTTTGCCGAAAGCATTATAGCCTCATAACTGATTGGCTGTAAGGCAATTTTGCCATGAAAGATAAAACAACAAAAAATAAAATAGAAGAGGGACATTTAAAAGGACACAATGAAACACGTAGTACATATCTGGACTACATTTAAATGTTCCGTCGCATGCCCAGTCCTTATATTTCACCAAATCATCTAAGCCAGATTCTGTACCAAATACCAAAATTCTGTCCACATCACGTTCTCCAGGATCAAATAGCAAAACAATTTTCACCATTTTCAAGAAATTTATACTCATCAGGAATCACGTAACCATTTCTTTTTGAGGGGAGGGAAATAGGAGGAGGAGCTCGATTCTTCTTTTGTCTCCAATTTCTAATACTGCATGATAAATTTGGTAAAGATGGCACTGGAGAACAAGCTGTTGTATCTAAATTAGCTAAAGAATCAATAATTAATGCTCGAAGACTGTTGTGAACGACTAGCCACCTCTTTTATATTTGTCATAGCTTGGTCAACTTTTGGTTTTGGACCGGTGGGAGAAATGACTGTCTTCATCAAATGATTTGCAAACTGGTATCATTTTCTAGTATAGTATGCAATCTTGCTTCACATTATCTTATTTCACACTTTCAGTAAATTTTATCTCTGCATTTTCTAGTTGAAACCAAACTGTCAACCAGTTATTTCATCTTTCATGGCAATATTGCCTTACGGCCAATTAATCTTGCAGGGAAAATGTAGTGAAAATACTTGTGCCAAGGAAGCTTGTG